AAAAATAGACCTAGAAAAAAAGAAACAAGAGAAATTAAAGGCTATAGAAGAGAAAGCAAAAAGAAAGGAAGAGAAAATAAAATTACGAGAAGAACAAAAAAGACAGAGGGAGGAAGAAAACCAAAGGCGAAAAGAAGACAGAAAGAGGAAACTGGAAGAGAAAAGACAGCTGAAAGACAATTCAAAAGGGAAAGGGCCGAAGAAGAGAAAGACAAACAAAATGGATGATTCTGAAACAGATACAAGCATTGATGAGTCTCAAATGATTTTCGATGACGAGTCGGAAGATGATTTTGAGGATTTAGATCTAGATTTAGACTAGACTAGTCTAGACTAGAGTCTATTTCAGAATGCAATTTTTTTTATTAGTTAGAATTAAATAAAAATCAACCATGAATGTCATGAAAAAATGCATGAGTTATTTGTTTTAATGTTGTAGTCTAGTCTATATGTGTCACATTTATGTATGTTTTTATGTGTGTATCTGTGTGAGTGTATTGGGAGATCCTTAGCTTTAAATCACAACTGGTTTCAGTGAGGGCACCTTTGTGGTTGCACTGTGGTCAGGTGGTTGCACTTAGGGCAAATCATTGGTTGCAGGGCGGGCAGGTGGTTGCTTAAGGGGCTACTCAGACGTAAGCATTTTTCCCTATAATTATGCTAGTTATCTGCTAGAACATCTCCTAAACACTGCCAAGTCAGTGATTTCACTTGGTGCCCTCTAAGCAACCAATAATTTTTTTTTTTCTCCGATCATTAAAAAGTTGTGAGAAAGAGTTGACTCGTGGTTGCATTGGGGCAAGTTACTCTACTTGTTTAAAACACGCCTTATCCGAAAATGTACTAAAAAGTATGAAATAAATGTCCCCCAAAGTTTAGGCCGAAATGATCAACTTGCAACTTTCGGCGCCGAAACCAAATTAGGTCGGCCTGTACTACCCAGTTAAAGACGCTAATAATGCTCTGAGAAGATTGGGACATACCACATTCACCATTCAACTTAATAAGGTGACTGGGACTGGGGTGGAAATTGCAAGGGCGCTGCAATTAGGGTATTAAAGACAACGGCAAAAGTCGGTGTGGTCGGGGTTCACTCAACCTTTGAGAGACGCTCATAATTTATCATGGATATAGTTAGGATCTATGCAGAGCCATTGCGTGGGCCCTGCAACACTCGCGGCTGTTTAAGTTTCAATTAAATGAAAATGCTGAGATAAAATAATAATAATAATAAAAAATAATAAAATCTGAATATTAATGATATAACATTTCTTTTTTCTTTTCCCCCCCCCCCCCCTTCCCGCCCCACAAAGAAACACATTCAATCTCACTTATAAGAAGATATCGAATTTCACAGTGTTTGAAAATTAAAGATTATGATTGATTAAAAACTAATAATGGGTTGATGTCATAATAACTGAGACGTTTTTTTGTTTAAAATATGACAAAAATAATATTTTAATGAATAAAAGGCTGTGAAGTTTGATGAGTAAATGAGTGAGTAAAAACAATAAAACCATTTCCGGTTCCGGGTAATTTCCGTCAGAGCTTACCATTGTTTGTATTCAATTCACAACATAACGACAAGCCTCTTAAAATAAACATTCGCTGATATTAAGAACTTTATATTAATCAACGAAAGGAAACAACTAACGTATCATGGTAAACATGAATTATGACACGCGCATTCATTTTTCTTAAACTATGACGTCTCAAATAAAATAATGTCAACGAACTTTGAAGAAAATAAAATAAATCATGATGATCATGAATCATGTCATCAATCATTCATCATTGTCATTATAGTTCATAATTAATAGTCATATTCATTCTTCTCATTCAAATTTTCTAGCTTCGTAGTGTTATCGTCGGTACAATGAATAAATTTGAGTGATAGTGCAGTTCAGGTGCATATATTATTTCTGATCAAATTTTGTATTATCACATGATAACTTAAGTGAACGTGTTACGTGTATTCGTTATAAAATAATAATAATAATCATATTCATTCTTCTCATTCAAATTTTCTAGCTTCGTAGTATTATCGTCGGTACAAAATGAATAAATTGGGGTGATATTGCAGTTCAGGTGCATATATTATTTCTGATCGAATTTTGTATTATCACATGTTAACTAACGTGTTACGTGTATTCGTTAAATAATGTAGTCCATATAGTAGTATTAGGTCACACTGACACAAATTTGTATGGCAATAACTTTTTCTATTTATTGATTTTTACAGTACATAGATGGTAGCGTACACGATCTCTCCTTTCTTATTTTTTTAAAAATTCACCCTTCTTACATGCCAGATTGCAATTTTCCACTGACACTGCGCCACCCCCCCTCCCCACCCCCCTCCAATGTGTTTTTTTACAGGCCCCGTAATTTAGATGTTAGCTTAAGGGCTTTTAAAGATGTTAATTTCAGAATGCCATCAAGAGCGGTGATGTGTTTATTGGCTAGTTTTAGGAAAAATTAAAATTATGAGTTCATCAACAAGTTAAAAAGTTTTTACACTTAAATTTTATAATACAGAATCCATGAAAAGGTTGTTAAAGACTAAATATCATTGTTTGTGAAAGTATAAATATAATTATTGTCAGTATAGCTGACAATTGTAGCATAGTTTCTAGCTGCTATCATCTTCCCATGGAGTAGCCAGGTGTTGCTCTATCGTAACAATGGGATAGTAGCTGATTTTTATCTTGCGGAACTGATATACCAGACAAGTGAATATCATCCTTGTCTAACGATTCAGCACTTAAAATAGAAGCATTGTCAGTGTGAGCTATAAGTGCCCTAAGCTCTCTCTGTCTCCTGGCAGCTACTTGCATTAGTTGAATCCTTTTTTTTTTGAGAGGCAAGTGGTAATTTCTTATGCATTGTCTGTGCTGTTTCAACATGACATGTGATGCAAAATAGATGTTACAGATTTTGCAAATCCGTCAAGCAGCGATGTTATTATTGTTACTCACTTTACTTTCCCCTAATTCTCAAAATATCATATTCCTATTCTATCAATAGCATTTATCTTGACCGCACATGACTCTTGAACCTTGTCCTTGTTCCATACCTGCAACGTAACCGCGAACATACCGCCCTATTCATTTGCAACAAATAGGATCTACAGGCGAAGAGAGGCCGACTTTTGACTTCTCTTGCATTAACTAAATGTGCTAACAATCTGACCAAGAATCAGCAGTGCACAGACAGACACAAATCAAATAAGTCTTATATTGTTAACTCTTTCCCGACGATTGCGACTAAATGCGTCCTTTGGGTGTTATGACGGATGGATCCAAATGCATCCTGACGTATATCGACACACCTCTCTTATTTCTATTTCAAAATAGTTATGAAATCTCGCATCCCTCGAGACTTCCGGCGATGGCGTGATTCAGAGTGATTTCAATTTAAAAACCTGAAGTTTTTATCTTGTTTCACTTTAAAACTATGTTTGTTTTAGTACGGCCCGTCTATTTGTAGCATGTGTTGTGGCATGAGGGTTTGCCTTTTATAGCCGATTTTTAGCATAATAATAAATTCTACATCTGCCAATTTCTTAAAGCCGACATCTTGCTTGTTCTATTGAGAATTCATTTGATATATTTTTTCGAAGTCAAAGCTTTGAAAATTGAAGTTGAAACAAGGTAAACTTCAGATCAATACCTTTTTTTAAAAAAAAGCGCTGATTTATATAAAAAAAAAAGCTGATTAAATTTATAGTTATAAGGTCATATATTATGATTTATAACATCCAAGGAAACATGGATAGTCTCTCTTATAAAATTTTATTCAAAGTCTACTAGTAGTACTACTAGTACTATGACTATAGACTTATATTAGTACTAGTACAACTAAGCAGAGTGAGTCTACAGTCTACTAATTATTATACTTTTATTAGTATTTTTTATTGGATCTGATGGTTAAAGTAAAGGCAAACAAGCACACTAGTCTCATGCACTTGCAGAGTGTGTTCATTTGTAATTTGAATACAGTGTATATTATTATTTTTAAATTTAATTTAACAAATATTCATTGTTTGTGCCTATTTCAAAATAAAAAATTTCTATAGAATTCAAATTAAATTATCAAAATAGACTGACATTAAGTTAAACCTTTTGACTGTCTGTTTATTAAAGTCATTTCTGAAGGGGAGATAAAAAGTAAATAATTAATATGCTTAACTACAATCACTGTTTATACCTACATAACTGAATTTACAACACTTAATAAAAGCTCTCAGGTTATTTTTAGAAGAAATTTAGCAGGTCATAAATAGAAGATTGCTCTAAAGCTAAAAAAATGTACAGGTAACTCTTGTTACTCTGCATGAATAGCCTAACTAACTAGTTATCATGACCTTATGGCTAGGTAAATATATATATTTTCAGGTAAATGTAAATAAATATTAGTTAAGATGTCACAGATCCCTCCAAGTCAAGCTGCTACCTCAAGTGCACCTGTCTCATCATTTCCATTATTACAATCCACAAGTGAGTAAATGTCTTTGCAAATACAATGTATTGTTTATATATATATATATATATTTATATATATATATATATATAAATTATTTACATTTTTGTGTGCACTTTGGTAATGTAAAAAGAATGCAGATTTCTTTTAAATACATAAGTTTTTACAATTTACATGTTTCAAAGTTTCTAAATTAAACAGACTAAAAAATATGAACATGCGAATATTCCTAAATAAAAATATTATTATTATATCTTTAGGACATTGGTATTGTACATATAAAAGTTTGAATAAACGGTTATTTCAGATGATGTTGTGAAGTTTCCATGGCGACGTGAATCAACTCAGGATATTGCTGCAAGTGGCATCAATCGAGATGCCAAATCCGGAGAGTTCATTTTACAGAATTTGTTCCTTGAGTTCTGTCGTGTAACAGAGAGAAGAATTGAATTTGTTTTGGCTGAACCTTTGGTAAGTGCTATGTAATTATTATTTATTGACAAATAACACATTTTAAATGTCAATATAGACTGAAAGAAAGAATAAACTAACACAAAAATTCCCATAAACAATATGGGATAAATATGATTTTGCAATATCTATATACTTGTATTTATTGAGATGCAAACTCAAAATCATTAACAAAGTGTTACTTGCTTACACAGGAAAAACCTTTATCAAAATCTTTGCAAAGAGGTGAAGATCCTCAATTTGATCAGGTATTTATAGTATTTTTTTTATTTGACAATAATATTTCCGTTGTACATATACAAATAAAACATTTTCTAAAAGATAAATAAATATGCTATCATATTATATAAACATGATAATAATATGCCTTTTAAAAATTGTAGTTTGAGTACTTGAAAATAAAACTTTTCATTATTTTCTTTAGTCTTGGCCACTCTAAGGTCAAGGTAATGATCACAGATTATAAAATAGCATTAACAAAATAGCCAGTATGATTCCCCACTCAGTCTAATTTCAATAAAAACATACTTTAGGGGATCAAGCTATTGTATTTGCATGGGAAAAATCACCTTTTTCATAGGCACCCAAAATGCTCTAATTTGCCTGCACAGTACAGAATAGTAACCAGCGCAGTTCGTGGGTTAACTTAACAAAAAACAAAGAAACCTTTTGTTGTTTGTTAGTTTTAGCTCCTTTCTTCATCTGGCAGTGAATCAACAGAGAACTAGGATTGGATGGGGTTTCATCCATAATTATATTATGTACACACTGAGGGGGAGAGCTGGGGTGGTTTTGACAAAGGAGCTTATGGGTGTGCATGGGAAAGGGTAAGGGATAGGTGTCTAAATATTTTTAAAGGCTATAAAATAAGATTGCCACTTTTGCTCTGTGTTTTCACATTGAACTAGTTAGATACCACAACATTATAATTTAGTGTACTTGCCCTACTGACAAATTTAGTCAACATTTGCTTTTTTTTCCTTTCGTGCTTTATGACTTAAGTTTGTGACATAATTATCTTTGTTCTTCTGCTGAACCGCCATTGTGAAGATGAAGATAACTATGGATTTTTGCCATTTTTATCAATACATTCTCAACTGCTCCACAAAGCAGCATTAGATTTGACAATTTTGATAAGATCAAGTAAGCGACATTTGAAATCTATTTCAGAAGTCGCTAAGTAGCTGGACAATTTTTATACCCCAGTTTGTTTCAAGCACTCTTCTTCCCTTCTCCCAATGCAGCTTGCTGGGGTTATTAGACTATACTATGTAAATTTAAAGTAAAATCATCTCCTAGGCTTAATGCAGAGGGGCCAATCATGGTAAATAACATGACCTGTTGGATATATCACAAATGTACTTATTTTTTCATTCAATTCGCCATTATTTTCATTCTTGGCATAAATACGCGTTTGAAATATATATACGTTAATTTTTTATGATGGTACACACCATTTCAGTGAACCCGCCCCATTTTTAGACAGATTAAAGTAAAACATTATTGAAGTAAGTAATCTCAAATCTTCATAAAAATTATAAAATAATTTTACTATGCAATAACTACTAAAATAAAAAGGATTTATATAAACACAGATAGGTAGAGGGGAACCTAATTTTCCACAAGTGTAGATTTAATGTAGAAAGATGCAAAACTATATTTATTATTCACTCTGGTGATTTTGGCGGGCGTCTTTCAATTTCTGCCTCCCCACCCCATCTTTGCCCTATAAAAAGTGGGCAAACCTCTTTTAAGTGACCTTTTTAGACATGCAGTGGCAATAGTTATTGCACTATTATATTATAATTTCTTTACCATTAAGTTGTGGTATTGTAAGATCTTGAGAGGGTGAAGTACTAATCTGAAATGATATTGTACAATTTTGCGAGTTCTAAGGTAACGAGATCTGCCATTTGCCTTGTGGATCCCACGTCAGTGCCTGCCTGGCGATGTTTGAAGGCCATTTGCTGTGTGTGCATTCAATCTACCTTCACTTCCTCTCTATGATGTCTGATTCAATTTGTTGGTCTTTCTGTTTCTATTTTTGTCAATTTTATGTTTAAAAATCTCCTGAAGCATTAGTAAAGCTTTGCATTGTTGTAGTCCTTTCCTTTTTGTGCTTTTCCATGTTTCATTGTCTTACAGTTGGAGAAATTATATGTTGGAGGCAAGGATTCTCAATTTTGTTGTTTAAATAAAAGAAATGGATATTCATGCCCTTTCTCACTATGGCAAAAGTTCTCTTTCTTTCTAGAAGTGTTTTTGATTTTCTCCTCTGTAACTTACACTGTAATGATGGTTCTGCCAAGGCCTGGAAATAAAAATATTAATCCTGATAATTTTGTTTCACCCAATAAGTTTATTAAATATGAGTTCAAAACAAAATGTTAGCATTTTTTTTTTTTTACAAATTAGAACGACAACACATTATTATTACTATTCAAAAGTTATTTGATTATTGCAGGTGTTGAGTGCACTTGGCAATGTAGCAGAGCACTGTCTACCATCCATATTAAAAACACTGTTTGCCTGGTATCAGCGGCAGATGAAAGAGGACAGCCCACTCCTTGACTCCAGACAAAGACACAGAAGCAAAGGGTATTCTGAATTAGTTTGCCCACTGTAGTTTCCTAAGCCCTGTCAAAACAATTGGCTTGTTGTAATGAGATCAAATATTTGAAAGTAAAGAAAACTTAACAAAAACTAGTAGAAAACTTTTTAAAATGTACATTAAATTTTCTGCATCTCATCCCCTATGTGTGATAGCTTATCATTATATGCTTTGCTACAAAATATTGTAAATTTTTAGAAATAATTTACAAAAACAATTGGTACTGATAAATTCAAATGAATCATTTATTAAGCTTTAACCTGTACACATAGAGTCAGCTTTTTTCTCTTTTTTTTTGGTTTTGTTTCTAGGAGGGATCTCATAAATACTTTTATTTCTTTTTATTACAGAAACAAAGACTATCTTTGTGAAAGAAGGGATGTAAGTAGAGTACTTATATTTTTTAAAGTAGTTTGCATCAAATAATATTTTTCATTTGATGTGTTGATATAAAAGAAAACATTTAACCCTCATAGTAATAAAACCTTTGTAAATTAGCAAATAACTTATTAATTGAGGTTTAAGTGATATTTAAACAATAATTGTTAGGTTAAAAAAAAATGAAGATGATGACAAAATAAACCTTCAGAATTTATCTGCAGCTTGTTTGTCTCTGGTAACATCAGATTTGACATGTTCCATTCTTGCCTTAGTAATGGTAATTCATGTATGTATGTTAATGTATATTGTTTTAATGCAATTTCATATATTTCATTTTTCAGCTTGCACTTGAATTTGTTTATTGTCTTGTTCTTATTGAAGTCTTGTCAAAGGTTAGTATGCGATAAAGTAATAAAAAAATTCAGTCTTTAAATAAAGTGATGCTTACTAAATATATATATATATATATATATATATATTTATACATATGTGGTAATTAAGCATATAATTGTAATTTTATTTTTATACTGATACTTCCCCACAGCTTTCTTACCATCCAGGACATGAGGATTTTGTTGGATACTTAATAGATCAATGCTTCAGACATTTCAAATACAGAGATGGGTAAGCAATTTAAAAAAAATTTAATAACGTAATTTAAAATAATAATAGAATCAAATAGATTTTTTTAATCTAGGATAATTCAAAAATAAAATTAATCTTCTGGTAGGTAAATGATGATGTCATATTTATTATTTCATATTTTCTTAAGCTCCAGTTTTATGTGCTCTGCCTTCCAGGTTACAGTCTAACCCTAATGCATCCAACATTAATATTATTGCTGATCTTTATGCAGAGGTTATTGGTGTACTGGCTAACTCCAGGTATAAAGTCCTTTTGCTCTCAAATGTGTATAAAATGTATTTTTCTATCTTTGCTCCAGAGTATTTCATTTTTAAAATGGAATTTATATAGATTAAAAAAAAGTAAATGGTAAATCATTAAAATATAATCAATTATAATAAATTACTCTTCCTGTTTTTAAAAAAAAAAAACTTAAAAAAAACTATAAAAATAATTTATGCATAATTTTTATTACAATATTGTAAAGATTTTTGGCAGTGCGCAAAAAGTTCATGAACGAGTTGAAAGAGCTGAAGCTGAGGGATCCGACACCTTACACGGCACAGAGCATCATCAGTCTGTTGATGGGACTCAAGTTTTTCAGGGTTAAGGTAATATTTTACTAACGCTTCCGCAGCTCTTTATAAATTTTAATTAGTGAGATTATATTTGGAATTTCTTGTTGTTTATTAAACAATGCCATCATTTTGACTGCATGTGATAAATAATAACCATAGAAAAGATTTGTAGAATAGTTGAGTGTATTTAAACATGAAAGTGTCTCCTTACACTCAACAGATGCACCCCATTGAAGAGTTTGAGCTGTGTGTACAGCTGTTACTAGAGTTGGGTCACTATTTTCTGGAAGTAAAAGATCGAGACATCAAACATGCTCTGGCTGGTCTTTTTGTGGAGATTTTACTTCCAGTTGCTGCTGTAAGAAATATGACGTCTAAATTTTATACATTTATATATTTTTATATTTTTATTTATTTCATTGATAAAACAATTTGACCCATTCAATACATGAGCTTTTTTCTGTGAACCTAGTAAAATTAAGAGACTAAAATTCCATTCAACCTGAAGATGTTTCACTTAAATTCCCAGCTTTCAATTTATCCAACCTTTGTCATGTAGCATATCAGAATTTAGCTACTTGTTCAAGAAATACGTTTTTATTATAAAATTGTGTTAAAAAATTAAAGGAGAAAAACGTTAGGGATCCTATGACAGTATTATGTAAAAGTAACAATAAAAAAAATAAAATTCTACTCACCATCCCTTAAATCAGGTAAGAAAAATCCCATCTAGATAGTATAATTATTTTTCAGCAAATAAGCCTTATTATATATCCAAAGTATGAGGAAAGTTTTGTTGCAATAGCTCAAGAAATAGCTAAGTTATGAATTTTTTGTCAACACATGTCTTGAATAAATGCTCCAAAAGTTAATAATAAAAATAACTATACACAAAATATTGACACATATTTACAAATTACTTAACAAATTTGGCCATAATTTTGAGAGAAAGGACTTGAAGCATCCTTTAGGATGAAGGTGAGGTTTTGCAATAAAAGTGTGTGTGTATCCATTTAGTAGCAGTAGAGCAATAGGCACAAGAGCGGTCACGTTCTTCATAATCTATGATGTGTTGCGCTTCATTTGTTCTTTCAAGGCATCCTGTCTCTAAACCCTTTCCTGGTGTTCTTACCATTGGGTCAAATGCTACATTCCCTGTTAGCTGATGTATCAACGTAAGGTTATAGTCCTTCAGACTCATTCTGTTTGGTCTGCTGCTTGGCTTAGTGAAAAAAAAAAATGTAGGAATTCATATGGGTGACTTCCAACAACAAGAAGAAAATCTACCATTTTATAGTTTTTGGTTAATATTCACAGTAGTATGTCCCCGTCTGATCTAACTTATCACAGTCATTCATTTTTTTATTGTAAATGTGAATCATTTCAGGTTTGTTATTTGTCTTGGTTTTGGTAGTCTTTACCCTTGTATCAGTTTGACACTAGTATAATATTCTTTTTGGCCTTTATATCTCTGAATACAACACAAAGCATGCTTTTTTGTGTTGTTTATAGTACCATTTCATTTCTTTGTGTTGTTAAGGTAAAGACTTTTTACCTTAGGCCTAAGCCTACTGTAACTGTAGAACTAGGTGCAATTGGTGAACTAGGTGTGATGCCATATTTTCCCCTTTCCTTTACCTTGGCATAATTTTGGTTTCTTTTTTGGCTGGAAGAATATATTCCCCATCAGTACTTTCACATTGCAATCTTTCATCCAAATCCTATTCATTGTTTTCAGTTGAGTCCAATGAATCATCCAAGCTAATAAATTGGCTTGCTTCTTCGGCAGTTAGACGTCAAAATCATGAGCGATCAGACCTAATATTAGTATCAGTACAACTTGTTGGAGCCATTGCAATAAGCTGATGTTTGTTTACAATTTTTAAAACGTGGAAAATCTAGCGAAAAATACACTAATCATGGTATAATCTGCCAGAAATTTCAAGCAAAGGAAGTTGAAACTCTTCTGAATAAAAGTTTAAAAAGCTATAAATAAAATAGTTAAATGCAAACGTTAAAACACTAAGGGCATGAAACAAACCAGTGATGACACACTCTATGGCTCAACATATTCAGCCAAAAGCAGGGTGACACACACAGCGGCGAAATGTCCAGAACAGGTTAATTTAATCAGCCAAATCATTGTACAAAATTTGTTTCCCATAAAGTTTCAAATAATTCTAATTTGATACATTGGCCTAAATTTGTATCCATTACCTGTACAATAATTATTGTTTTTTTCTGTGTGTGTAAATAGACTGTGAAGAATGAAGTGAATATTCCAGTTTTAAAAAAGTTGGCTGAGGATTTATATTCTGTTACTGTTGACATGGCAACAAAAAGGAAACACACCCTTGTAAGTTGTTTGATTGTTGACACTGTTAAATTATTTAAAAAAATATATATTTCATCTTAATAAATACTTAAAATTATGGCTATTAAAGTTTCAAAAAGAAAATATTTTAAATAAAAAAAGGTAATTATTAAAATGTTGAATCAATCTGCATTGATAGTATTTTAAGAACACGAAGGTTTTGATATTAATAACTTATTTATATTTTAAGCAAACTCTTCATTTGTTTGTCTCTTTTGTAATCTTCCAGCACCTATTCCCACTTGTTACATGCCTGCTGTGTGTTAGTCAAAAACAGTTTTTCCTCAACAACTGGCACTATTTCCTGTCAATGTGCCTGTCACAGCTGAAAAACAGGGATGTCAAAATGTCCCGTGTTGCCCTCGAGTCTCTCTACAGGTTGCTCTGGTAAATATCTTTATGATTCTGTATCAGAAACAATTCTTGTGTGATGTTATTTTTCTATGAAATTGATCAAAGCAGCAGTTTTTTTTATATTTGGTGACTTTGTAGCAGCAACTAGTTTGTGGTAAATTTATAAAGTAAAAATGGTTTAGAAATCTCACCCCGCCTCATTTTTTAATATCAATTATGTAAATAAAATTAATGTGGTTTTTGTTAAGAAATAGAGAAACTGATGAAATTTGATATTTTGCTTAATTGCATATTTTTAGTTTATTGTTAATGTGTTCCATATTTCAGTCAAACATTTAAAAGTTCTGTTTTTTCATATCTGTAGGGTGTACATGGTTCGCATTAAGTGTGAGAGTAACACTGCAACCCAGAGCAGACTGCAGAGCATCGTTAACAGCCTCTTTCCCAAAGGCTCTAAACTGGTCACTCCCAAAGATATGCCTTTGAACATCTTTGTCAAAATCATACAGTTTATTGCCAAAGTAAGACAACTGGCGGGCCAAATATCTTTCCGTTCATCTTAAAAACCTTTTAAATGTTATTGAGTTTTCCTTGTTATTTTTCTATTCTGTAAATAGTTTATGATCCCAATCAATTTCTTAATATTTTTCTTTATTTCACAGGAAAGGTTGGATTTTGCAGTGAAAGATATCATTTTTGATCTCTTATGTGTAGGGCGAAACAATAAATTTTTGACACCAGAGGTATTTTTTGAATGTATAAAATTATACTCACTTCATTTAAAAGAGATATTCTTATTTCTCATGGTCTTGTGTTTAAAAAGGCTTTAAAATACTTTAAAACAATATTACAATTGATTTTAAAGTATTAGTTTCTGAAAATATCAAAAGTTATTCATCAGCCTGCTAACTTATTGGCTAATTAAAAAGACTTTTAAATAAAATGGATGTGCTCTTCTCAGAATTTCAAATCACTATTATTTTCTTTCCACAGCGTATGAGCATTGGCCTTCGTGCCTTCCTTGTCATTGCTGACAGTCTTCAACAGAAAGATGGAGATCCTCCCATGCCTCAGTCCACATCTTCTTTACCATCTGGGAGCACTGTAAGCACAATTTAATCCCTTTAAAATCACTTTTTAAAGAAATCTTTTTAAATCGCATAATTTTTATATTATTTTATAAATTAAAAATTTTTAAATATAAACATCCAGAATAATTTATGTTTGATGATACTTGATGTTACGGACCAGGAAGCAAGTTATTTTTCCAAAAATAGATAACTAGTCAAATTTGAATGACGGGTAATCAAATCTAAAGTTGGTGGCTATTTCTTAGACGTTTTGTTATATGCATGTCAGTTACAATCAAAGTGGCTTTAGTGCTCAATTCATGGACCACACCACTGCATGCTACAGGATTTTAAATGTACATGACCAACTCGCTGTCCTTAAATGTGATTAAGCTAAGGGGGTCTTCTACAATTTGAGTTGAGGTTAGTTTCAATATTCCCTTATGCTTGAAGCTTTCGAGCTTGTAGTCAAAGATCAGCTTAAATAAACAGAATTTATGTTTTTATGGAGGCCAAATTTTTTAAAGAAATGATGCTAGCAACTGTGGTAAGAATTTATTAATTCAAAATTCTTTTTCCTTTAGGTGAGAGTGAAGAAAACTTTCCTCAACAAAATGCTATCAGACACCACAGCGAAATCAATTGGTCTGGCTCCCTACTACCCTTATATACTGAAAACATTTGACTCTATTTTGAGAGCTCTTGATCTTCAAGTTGGCAGATCGCTCTTAATGACCAAATCAGAAAATGCCAACAAAGAACCGGAGGAAATGATTACGTAGGTTAATCCCCATCCAATATGTGACACCTCATATTTTAATTTAACCTGCTTATTTCTTTTTAATTTCCCCACACATTATTATTATGTTAACCCTATAACTTTCATAATGGTCGATCATCTGCCATTAAACCCCTTTCTGCTAGCAAAATTGTCATTAAATATGCAAATGGTTAAATATATATTGGTTAAGGGGAAATAATTCTATATAAATTATTTTACTTCCTATTTCCGATTCTATCTGTGTTAACAAAATTTGATCAGGGATTTTTTTTTGGTCAATTTGCTAAAAAAATATTAATGTCTGATGCTGTAGAGGATGCCCTATAGATTGCAAAATCAACACAGAAATAATAATTTCAGAGATATTCCACGTGCTAGTAATGACAGTCTTAGCTCTATCAGTGATGTTGACATATGAGACCGATAATGACAATTTTAGCATTAAGCTTAGTCATATTCCTTTGGGAAAGAGTGGAAAAGACAAAAATTGGATTACAAATATCTACCCTAAAGAGATTAAAGACATTTTTGTTTGTGTATGTTCTGGAATATTATTTAATAAAGAATAGACTTAATAAGTTCATATCAAACGGAATCTTTGAACTCATTTTGTGTCTTCCCCCTTGTATTTTGTAAGACAGAAAGTTGAAGGTGGTGAATGAAAAAAATTCAACAACAATTAAAATTTTTTAATATAAGTACCCATAACTTGAAATTTTTTGAAAGAATATTGCTTCTAGTATATACAAAAACTTGATGTTATGAAAGGTTGAACAATTTATGTGGTATTAGGTTGGGTTGAAATGAAAAGTTGAGTAGTAAAATTTTACGCACTCTGTAAAGGTCAAACTCAGCATACGTAACATAAAAAAATTCCATAAGATACCTTGTTCAATTTACTGTCAGAAATTATATACTTGTAAGGGTCTCTGAATTCAATTGGTTTGGGATTTTGTCATTTTTGACAAGCATATGAAAATATTAAAAATGGCTTGACACTAAAGAAAAATGCACTTGACATAGATACAGAAGTTTAAGTAAATTTAAAGCTATAAGTGTATTAATTTTTGTGTTGAATCAACAAAGTGATAGATGAATAATCAAATTTTGGAAGGTGACATTTTTTATGTCATTGCTGTGACATGTAATGTAACAATTTGCAATTTTTCAGTTTTAAATAAAATAAAAATTCTTTACAGATTATACCTAAATGTCTTGTCTATTTATCCCATCCCCCATCACAGAGGAGACAGAAAACCTAAGCTGGACTTATTCCGTACTTGTATCGCCGCTATTCCCCGCCTCATTCCAGATGGCATGACACCTCCAGAGCTTGTGGAACTCATAACAAGACTCACTGTGCATGTGGATGAGGAATTGAAAGGGTGAGCAATTCTCTTCAAAATAGAAATAGCATCCTTAACCTTTCCAGCACCTGGCGCGTCTTTTTGATGTGACCTTCTTTTTCCCTGTGACCTAAGAGCGTCGTTTTCCACCAACCAAATTTTTTCTCTGTGGCCCAAACGCGTCTATTTGCCACATGTTGGGATTAGATGATTCTGATGCTGATGAGGAGGAGGGCGATGAAATTGCTGAAGGAAATAGGCCTACTATGGCTCAAAATTTGGGCCTACAGGAGCCTATAGGTTTGACAGGTCTTAGACCTAGTGCCAACGTAGATATAGATGAAGATTGACTGGAGTAAGAGCGGCTGGGCACTGTGCTGGCCACACAATTCCTTAGTGCGCCATTGCCAATACAAAACACATTAGTATTTTTAACGTCCTTATCCATTTCTGAACAGATAATTCTTTTCATGTTATTATCAATTGTTTAAAATAAAAAAGTTACAAAATAATTTGCAACCGTATCACATTTTGGCTCATTCCAAAATAATGTCTAGGCCACAGGGAATAGTTAGCAAAATAATAGCAGGTACTGAGGCTATACATAGCAAAAAAGTAGGTCAGTGCTAGAAGGGTTAACATAAGGCCATTAATTCAAAAAATTGGGTCATTCTTTTTATGAATCTATACTCCAAGCCCACCCTTGCCTGGCATGTTTTTATAGACCTATCAGTTGCTCCTTTAGGATCAGTGCTGTTCAAGTTTGGTACAGAAGAACTAATCTGAAACTTATTTCTATCAGATGTAACAACTCTCTCTCTCTCTCTCTCTCTCTCTTTCTTTCTCTCTCTCTTTCTTTCTCTCTCTCTCTCTCTCTCTCAATAAGGTGGCATGGTCCTGAATTTTTTATTAGTCTATTCTCCAAGCCCACCTTGCCTGGCATGTTTTGTAATAGACCTATCAGTTGTTCCTTTAGGATCACTACTGTTCAAGTTTGGTACAGAAGAACTTATCTGAAACTTAATTCTAACAAATATAACAACTAGCTCTGGAATCTCTTCTGCATCTCTGTGAAAAAATCATAAACTCAATGATGTTTGCTAAAATAAATTAATATAAAAAAGATTAAAGTGAAGCTATAGCCTTATTTATAACTTATCATTCACTTTAGAAAGAAAATTATAATTTATATAAATTCAATCACTAACAGGATAACTTATAATTTAATTATATAGTTAAATAGCTATAACTTGCCTGAACTAAAAATGTAATAAATTTTTAAAAATCTGTCATCAGGTTAGCCTTCCAGGCCCTACAGAATCTGATGTCTGAATCTCCAGTATGGAGAGAACATGTTATTCATGGTAAGTAGTTCAAACCGTCTACACTTAGCTGTTGCACATCAAAATAAAACAATGTACAGTGTGAGCTTCTATTTATTTGGGTATTTTAAAAAAAATTTTTGATGTCTATGGGCAACTTTCTTATCTGCGCGTGCCAGCTTTTTGTCTTTGTTACCTAAGATAAGGAACTTTGATAACTACAAGCTATTTTAATATGATAGCTGTTGTAACCACTTCTAGTTTTCCCTTCTACTGCTGTAACCATTTGTTTAAACCACTTCTAGTTTTCCCTTCTACTGCTGTAACCATTTGTTTAAACCAGTTCTAGTTTTCCCTTCTACTGCTGTAACCATTTGCTTAAACCAGTGCTTGATTTTCCTTGTATAATAATAATAATAATAAAGTTCATTTCAAAAACACGCTTCATCCCCAAAGGCTCGAAGCGCGGTACAAAGTCAACAAAAAACAAATCTATAATTCACCACATTTAAAACAAACGCAACTCTACAAAAACTAATTACAAGCATACAATGTCAAAGTCTTTCTAGCCATTTCAACCATAAGCAACACAGCCATTATGCATTAACTGGAAAATAAGGTAGACAATCATCCCAGAAGGTGTTTGCGAAATAGATGTGTCTTTAAATCGGTTTTAAAGGACTCCAGTGTCTGGTTATTTCTGAGATCGACAGGAAGGGTGTTCCAAATTGTTGGACCAGCAAATGCGAAAGTGCGCTTTCCGTAAGTCTCAAGGCAAACACGTGGTGTCAAGAGTTTGCCACTATCGGATGAGCGGAGCTCTCTAGTGGGTACATAAGGCGTCAGCAGCTCTTTCAGATAGGACGGCACCAGGACATGTAAGCAGCTGTAGCACAAAGTTGCGATTTTGTACTCTATGCGAGTACGCACCGGCAACCAGTGCAACTCTCTCAGAAGTGTTTTTGCATGGTCGAACTTGCGTTTGCTGAGAACAATGCGAGCCGCATTATTCTGTGCTATTTGAATTTTATCCAGGAGCGTAGCTGGAAGATCCACCATGAGAGCATTGCAATAGTCCATGCGTGATAGCACAAATGCAGACATCAGCCTCTTTGTTGCATCAATTGTTAGGAAGGGCCTGATGTGACTAGTCCTGCGCAGCTCCAGAAAAATCGCCTTGCATAGCATGTTAATATGACTTTCAAAAGTTAGTCTTCTATCTAGGTAGACACCCAGGTACCGCACTGTTTGAGCTAACTCAATACGCACACCTGAGAGAGTAATGGATGTCATGTTATTTGCAGATTTTTGCTTCTGACCAAACCAGTTCTAGTTTTCCCTTGTACTGTTGTAACCATTTGCTTAAACCAGTACTTGATTTCCCTTGTACTGCTGTAACCATTTGTTTAAACTAGTGCTTGATTTCCCTTGTACTGTTGTAATCATTTGCTTACACCAGTGCTTGATTTCCCTTGTACTGTTGTAACCATTTGTTTAAACCAGTGCTTGATTTCCCTTGTACTGCTGTAATCATTTGCTTACACCAGTGCTTGATTTCCCTTGTACTGTTGTAACCATTTGTTTAAACCAGTGCTTGATTTCCCTTGTACTGCTGTAATCATTTGCTTACACCAGTGCTTGATTTCCCTTGTACTGTTGTAACCATTTGTTTAAACCAGTGCTTGATTTCCCTTGTACTGCTGTAATCATTTGCTTACACCAGTGCTTGATTTCCCTTGTACTGTTGTAACCATTTGTTTAAACCAGTGCTTGATTTCCCTTGTACTGCTGTAATCATTTGCTTACACCAGTGCTTGATTTCCCTTGTACTGCTGTAATCATTTGCTTACACCAGTGCTTGATTTCCATTGTACTGTTGTAACCATTTGTTTAAACCAGTGCTTGATATCCCTTGTACTGCTGTAACCATTTGCTTAAACAAATGCTTGTGTTCCCTTCTACCTCAGGCTTTGTTCAGTTTATTCAGAAAGATATCAGTGACACCAAACCAGGACTTTTAGACAGTACACTTAGGCTTTTGTCACAATTGATGGTACAGTGGAGGTCCACCATGATGATGGCTGGAGCCAACCAGCAGGCCGTGAAGGTAACACTGAGTCCTCTTAGTTTGATTACAAATAGATACATTAGTTTCAAACACAGTGCAATAAAGAGCTGATTCCATTTTGTCTGTGCCGTTGCAAATTTTACCTATCTAATTATAAGACTTTTGTCACAACTAATGAATGGTACAGTGGAAATCGACCATGACGATAAGGGCTGGAGCCAACCAACAGGCTCTGAATGTAGCAATCAAGTCCTGTTAGTTTGCATAGACTTAGATTTGTGTGTTTAAACACGGTGCAATAGAGAGCTGATTCCATTTGGTCATTACCATTATAAGATTATTATAAGAGGATTGGACTGTGATAAAGAGTTTTAGCATATTAATGATCAACCTATATTGTTTTATTGACACAAACTCTTTGTGTCTCATTAATCAAGTTTTGATTATTAACTTTGGCATTAAACCTTGGGACATAGCATCACCTTTGTTGAGCAGTGAAAAATCCACTAAATCATGAAAGTATGTGATTTTTGTGCCACTAGTTTGTTCCAGCTGATGTTGATTCCTGTTTTGTGTGTGTTTCTCAGGATCCTGCTCATGCACACCCTAATGTAGATGTGTTACATGAAGTTGAGGGTCTGTGTCTGGTTATGATGTGTAGCTGTCGTGTTGTTACCAGAAGACTTGCTCTGCATCTGCTGAAAGAAGTCAGAAATATTTTCAACATGTACCCAGATGATCAGGTATATCGCGTTTAGCTGCTTGGCTCAAGAAATTTTTTGCGCTCTTGTAACAAATTTATTTGTCGGCGAAATATCCAGTTCAATTACAAACTTGTCAAGATTAGAAATTGATTCATGAAAACATTCTTGTCATCCTTTTCATTTTTTTATCTGCTCCCTCCTTCCCGAAGGGGTAATAAGGGGAGAGACTGCAATCAGGTTAGTACAAAATAAAATGAGTAAAACAGAGTAGGGTTAAACCTGAAAAAATAAATGCAACAAAACAGCGAATGTGTCGGCAGAAAGTCTTCGTCAGGGAACAAAACAACAGAAAAAACTGTATAAAAATAAAAATAAGAAATAGCACTTAGCTGGTAAGTAGTATCTGCCCGAAGGCAAGACTACCGAACAACATTTTTCTTTTGCATTGCTTCAGATTAATGTTAGCAGTTTGTTGGAAGTGATCGACAAGTCCTGCCCGGCTGTGTTGGAAAAATTGATGCCCTTGTTACCACCATCAGAAAAAGTATTTTCATTGTTTTGTTCACCAACATTTTAAAAACAGTTTTTGTATCATTCTAAATCTTTAAGCCGGTAACTTTCTGTTTAATTCCTATCGAGTTATCAATTAAAAAAAACCCAACCACTTCAATTCAAATTCTTCTTCATTATCCTGACAAGCCAAGTTGATTTGTTTGATCCCACTTTCATTGCCATATTTTGAATAGCCTGTTTTTTTTTCTCCGTAAAATTCTATAACTGAAAACAATAGTCATCTTGAAGATATTTTGAGAAACTAGTTAATGTTTACCTACTTTTGTTTGATAATAAATTTTCTTCAAAGAATACCATTGATATATATATTTCCTTGTCCAGCCTATTCTGTTAACCCTGCCAACTATTGACCTGGCTTGGGTTGTGGACAGGGCCGTGACCCTCTGGCTGCCAGCAGGCGGCGGCAGCATGCAGGATGGCAACCAGATCAATTACAGCTTCCACAGAGTGGACATGTGGATTCGCTGTGTTGCGGAGTTCGCTTCCAGGGAGCACGCTCAGCACTCATGCCCGCACGCAGTGGGCCATGCTTGGCCAATAGTCTTCACAAGACTCAATGCCCTGTTTCCTTTGGTGGATCCCAGGTGATTTACCCTGAAACATAATCTTCTGTCAACACATGGATTGAATAAACTTTTTAAAAATAACAGATGGTTATTTTGTTGACAGTAGGACTATTATATAATTTAAAATAGATTTATTAATTATTATTTCTATAAAAAAATCATAACCACAAGTTTTTAAAATAATTTTTGTTACAAATTCCAAGTCTTCATCCTCAGTTCATTTTAAAATTGATACAGAACTACTTTTATTTGGGCTTCAGTGAGAATGTAAGGGGGTTACAATTATTTTTTTTCTCTGACAGTGCTCAGGCTGAACCAACAAGAGCCTCCTCCATCCTACGTTCCAGCAAGAAAGGCACTTCAGAGAAAGATGTCCACATGCAGCTGTGGCAGAATTATGTCATCCTCGCCTGTACCATAGCAATGCACAGCGCCGGGCTTCCCCAGAGGTGTTCTTCTCCAGAACTGGGGTCAGTCTTTTATTGAAATTGAAGACCAGGAAATTATTTCTACCACCATAAATGTTTCAGTAATTAAGATGTTGAGCAATTATTTACAGAGAGGAAAGAGGCCACAGTAAAATATTGTTTTGCTTATCAAACATGTTTTTTGTTACTTCTTTGCTTCTGTACAATTTAATTCTGTTTGGCCCTTGCCACCAACAGTGTGGCATCATCACCAGAATCCACTTCAGACAAGTCTCCCACAGTTCAAGCCTGCACCGCTACCGGCTTGTTCCAGCGCCTGGTCCCCTTGATGAGGTGTGACAGCTCTGACTTGAGAGACACTATTGTCAATGGCCTAGGATATTGTAATCCAGCTGTTTTCAAGCAAGTTTCTAATGATTTTAAAAAAAATATTTATTGTCATGTTGTTTTAGATCCTTAATTTTAGATACAGTATCATTAAAATTTAAGTTGATAGAATTGTTAAAAAATTAGAAGCCCTAAAGGTTTAAAATTAAATAGTTATTTCATTGATTTAAATGTAAGATTTACCTTGCTCTATTTTGATGCTGATGAAAAAAGCAGTCATTCTGTGAAGTTAGTAGTTTATGTTTTGCCAAGTAGGTGTGTATTTTAATGTGATGTGGGTAAGGTGATCCATTATCTTACATGAAAATAAATTTAATGAGCTGTTGCAAAAAAAACTCATTTCAGCATGAGTGTGCATTGAAACCAGTTTAAAGTATTCATATGAATAAAACAGTACAGAAATGTGTCATTCTCCTAATTTGATATGATGTGTTTTATAGAGAACTGGCAGAGGAGCTGCTTCCTTTCCTAAAAGAAGCTATTGACAAGAAACAAGACAACTTAAGGAGGAGGAGAAAGCGAGACATTCTCAGGGTTCAACTTGCTCACATTTTTGAGCTCATGGCGGAAAACAAGGCATTTGCCCAGAAGTACGCAACGAGAGCATTTGTTATCGTGTTTATTCCAAGAGAGATGTTATATTCAGAGTTATGTTTTATTTAATTTCATGCATTGGCTTGTCTAGTATGGTAATGTATGTTTTGAAAGTTATAAAGACCAGCTCCAAATAAGTTATTTAAAGTATGATCCATCCATACATTACTGGATCTATAGGTCATACCCGTTTCATTTAATGTTAACTTGATTTACAATACAGCCTCTGTCCCTTTTTACTTCTTCAGTGAGTCAGGAATCATTGACACTGATACAGGCTCTCTTACGTCCATGTTTGTTGACTATATTGATGGAGCTCGTCAGTATTTGGAGGGTGAAAATGACAGGGATTTACCCATCTTGCAAGAAATAAGATTACATTTCAGTGGGTTTATCCAACATCTGATTTGCAATACCCCAAGTAAGACAGTTTTTAACAAAATAGCTACTGAGCTGTAGAGCTTTGCTTTGTGAGATTTTCTTAATCTTTTAAAAATGATTGTGTAAATATAAATTTGATTTTGTTTAATAGATTTTGAATTTCAAGATACGTTGAAAAATGTTTTTAAACAAAATCTTATACTAAGTCATAATTTGCTTTAGGTTCAATGTATCTGAAAAATTAAAATGAGTTTTCCTAAAACTGATTATGTGAATTGATTAAAAACATTAAAAACTCCCTCTCATCAGTGGACTACCGAAAGAACTTGCTGTCTAGAGATCTACGTTACAGTCTTTTTCACCTGTTTGCCAATTGGAGTGGTCACTTTAATCCAACCTTCGGGCCAGGGGATAAAAGGTAATAGCTCTTTTTTTTAACATAAATAAGGCACATGACCTCTACTTATCAAATAATAATGATGTAAAGATGAAATGAAGATTTAAATACATTTTTAAAAAGAGCAGGACCGAGGAACTTAATAATAAAAAAGAATCTTACTGTCATTGTAAAGGCACAACAAAGAAGAGTCATGGAATGAACAGGAGATCTCAGCTGTTCGTGCCATGTCTGCTGTGCTGTGCTGTGGGAAGGTGTTTGACCCCAGTGGCTTGAATGATGATGGATACATTTACCACTGGCTTGACACTCTCTTAAGTTCTCAAGATGAAAAGGTGAGTCAAGTCTTACTTTTAACATGACATCAGAATCTCATGAACATGACTGTGCTGCAAGAATCATAGTATCTTTTCTTTTTGTTATATTCTAAGTGCTACTTGATTCTGAGCTTTCGTTTTATCAAATTAAACATTTTTTAAAATCCTTATTTTTTTGGCACTGTTCATTCCTTTTCCACTTTCTCATAAAAATGAAAAACGATCTGACTTTTGCATCATCATTCCCCCAAATCATTTGTTGCATATAAACGTTTTCATTCTCTTCAATGGTTCAAGCCTAATTTTTGCATTCATTAAAAAAGTAACATTAGATCAGCATCACATGATATGGAACCTCAATTCACACTATACTAAAGAAGTAATTCATTTATTCATCATTGTACAGCTGAAATTCTCATAACATCTGTTTTCATAAAAATATGTGTTTTCCTCTCAAGTGCACAGTTGTGCAAATCTGTTAGTGACTTACCACATAGCCATTAAATATATTTTTAAACACATGCTCTTCTCTGATGCAAACTAGATGAAATCAAAGGTAAGCGGGCATGCAAGCTGAATTTACATTTTGGCAATGCTAAAAAAAAAAGAAAAGTTTTTTCTTCTTGTTTTGTTTTCTTCATCAGGCAAATCCAGTCTGATGATGGTTTATATTCTTAACTTGTTTCATGTTTGCTGCCTGGCCGATTAAACAAAAATACTCCTTTTATTTTTTATTTTTACTGATTGGTTCCCTTTTCTCTATGTAACTTAATTTAAGGACTCATCAACTGATTGGCTTTTAAATATCTCACTATAAAAAATATTTCAAAATATTCATTTAGATTTGTTATATTTTCTTCTGTTTTATTACCCACTAGTTATATATTTAAGTACAGGGGCAGTGTCAATTTATTATATGTATGTGATATGAAGGAAAAAATATATATTTAAAAAAAAAAAATGGAAATTAGATGCACCTTTTGCTTTCAAACTTTTAATGCTACTTTCACTTATATATTCCTGATAAATATATTCACATATTTCATAATTAAAAAAAAAAGCACTTGTACTAGTTGTAACCATTTCATAAACCCGATTTTATTATGCGTTCACAAAAATAAAAAATTTGCATTTCATATCAGCTCACAAAAGTGTATGCTCTACATTTTATCCTGTAGGGAATTAAAGAAGCTCACTCTCAAACAACTATGAGCACAGATAGAACTATGCAGTATAAATGATATGTAATGTTTAAAGTAATTAATTTAGAGTTCATGGGAGGTTCAATTTTGCTGAAATTACTGAGACAAACAGTCACTGTTTTCAAATGATTCCTACTTTAAAATATGCATAGTTTGTTCCTCTTCCATTTCATAAGCATGTCCAGCTTATGCCTTGCAAAAAGAAGTTAAAAAAATATAACTTTCCCAGTTTTATAAATAATGATGGGAGTTAATTGTTGCAAGGCTCAGCTTGTAATTTATTTACAAAATGCATGGGATTAAATGAAACCATATCTGCCATCTACAGTGATCTCTGGGTTATGATACTGATCATTTAGGTTCACAATTACATTAACTGAAAAGAAGTGAATACTTCCACAGTTCTGCGTATGAACAGGTTTTTATTTCTTTTTTTATTCATTATTCACATTAGTTTGTTTTTGTCGCTACCATACATACATTTTTGTTAAAGAAGTCGACAAAGAAATTGAATCCCTTGAAGAAAAAAAAGGATGTGGTTTCAATATTAGAAATATTCCATCTCAATGTTCTACCTCCTTCCCTGAATGTCCAACACAAAAAAAGCAATGTTTGTTGTTAGTTACTAAGTTAGAGTCACCTATTAAATGGATTTTGTCAGTGGAGTGAAATCATGTAGAATTAAAAAAACAAGTTAAGTTATTGTCCAATTGAAAATGAAAAAAAGCTAATTTCAGTGACAAGGCCAGATGGTTATGTTTGAATGTTGAAATGAAAATTAATTTCTAGAAATTATTTTAAAATCTTTAAATTCAATATGTGGTTGATTTTTAGGTAAGTACAAAGTGCTGCTTTAAAAAACTGCCACACTGATTTTAAAAACCTGTATTTAAGGATAATAATGGCTATTAATAGGTAAAATAAATTAAATTCTCGTATAAGACCTAATTTACTTTAAAAAAACCAATGTTAATTACAGATATAAAACTTTTGTATCTGAAATAATATTTATTGAAATGCTAATGTAGCACAATGAATCATAAAGAATTAACCAGTCTAGAATAACAAGATTAAGAGAAAAAAAAAAAAAAAAATTCGGCATAGTATTTTAAAAACATAAACCATTTCTTAATATCAATTAAATAGAGATAATTGAAATGCTAAAGTAGCACAATGAATAAAAAAAAATTAACCAATCTAGAATAACAAAAATAAAAAAAAAAAAAAAAAAAAAATTCGGCATAGTATTTTAAAAACATAAACCATTTCTTAATATCAATTAAATAGAGATAAATTGTATTCTTATCTAGATTTAATTATTTTTTTCTGAAGTTCTACTCATTTAGTTAAGTAAAGGAGAAGTTCTAACCAATACATTGTATTTATTTTTTAACTCAATGAAATTTCTCCCCACTGACATATTTAAAAAAATAATAACCTTAAGATTTTATTAGTTATTAGGGCATTGCTGTGGAAACTGTTGTGAAAGAAATTAGAGTAGGGATGTTTGATTTCATTGACTTCTCTGTTGTGGTTATTTCCTATTGTGTTAGTGAGAATTCTTGATTAATTTCATAGTCAGACTTGGGAAGAAAATAGAACCACAATTAATATGGTGCACCAAGGGAAAGGAAGCACTAATGGGACTATCAATAATGTTATGAAACCTTTTATATATTGCATATATTCCCCAGTAAATATGGAAATAAATATATAGCCTCTCCCTCTTATCATAAGCTTTACAAATAATTTTTTTTTTAGAAAACCATCTTCCCCACACCCACCCCCCCCCAGAAAAACAACATTAAATCAATAGTAAAAGAATTAAAGACTATAAAATGATACTCTTTATTACCACTGGAAACATGAAAATAATATTAGGACAATTATAATATACCACATTTATGTGAATAAATTCATAGTTATTTCAACCTTCACCTTCTTTGCTTAATGGAAATAAATTAAATATAAACACACTTTAATTTTGTATTTATTCATTACTTAATTATAATTTTATCTCATGTGAAGAGCCACAAGATAGCTGCCATAATGGTTGTACAATACTGTAAATATTATAAAACCAGATGCCTCCCTTTGAATAAAGGTTTAACATATCTTCTTCTATGACGGGCTTAATTAAATCTTACACTAATTTGTGCAAGTTCTGTGTTGTACTGAAAAACTCTTAATTTTCTATGCTCAATCAGATCTATGAACTGGCCAAGGAAACTGTATTTTTACTGCTGGACTTCAACTCAGAGACTCAAGGTCTCCTGGACTGGGTGATTGACAGATGCTATACTGGACACAACGAGGTAGCTGATGGGTGCTTTAATGCCCTGGCAGCTGTTTTTCAAACTCGGTAACAACTCAACATTATTGTTTAATTCATTATTATTCAGAAATCTTTTCATTAAATACCTGCTAAACAAATTTACCTCGTACACACCAGTGACTTTGGTGTGAAACTTTATCTAGATAATCTTTGGACTAATGAAATAAATTCATGATTTAAAATTTTTTTTGTAATGTTAAAAGAATAACCCTGGAATTATAAGAAAATTTGAACATTGGAAATTAAAACACATGCATTTACTACTTCCAGAGAATACCCTTGTGACCATGTTGCCATGCTAAATTTGGCTGTGCTAAATGTTGGTAGTCCAAGAATGTCAACTCATGAAACAGCTATTCAGCTGTTACATCTGCTAGACCTCAGGTAATTAACTCAGTTTTTAATATTTTTGAATGTAAAAAACTCATTTTTGCATAGAGAAAATATTATTTGATACATTTTTTTTGTCTGCCAATTTAAGTGTACTGATATATGTCTTAAGTATAGATGGAAAAGCTCCAATATTATAAAGTGATTTAAAGAACATTTAATACTGTACCGGTATGGAAGAATTCGTAACAATACATGGAAAGAAAGACCACCAGTGACATCTGTAGTGGTGGTGGGGTTAGGAAGCATATAATTCATAGCAGGAAAAACTGCTAACCCATCAGAGAAACTTGGCATTTGGACAATAAATATGTATTTATTTTTGGGACATCTGCTGAGTTAACATGGATGATTGAGAACTGGAGATCACAATCATAGGACGTGGTAGGGGTCGATGTCATTGGGAAGTCAAAAGTATTTTGTTTTTTTATAAAATGTCCATGAAGACACCAAGAGGAAATTTGTATGAGTAATAGAACAAGCTAGATCAGATCACTGAAGACCAAATGGAAAGATAGCTGAGGGGCAGTTTTGAGAATTTAGGGACAGTTGCAATAACTTCAGGGATCTAGGTGGGAGTAGAAATTAGATGCAAGCCAGGGTAATTTTTTGTGGGTATTCCTTTTTGAGAACTGAGGAAGAGAAAGAAACTGCAAGGAATAATACCCATTGGAGAGAACATGGGATATATGAAAAAAGATAGTTGAGTTAAGAATTGCATTAGAGAGCCATGAATTAAATAGAGAAGCAAGCTAAAATCAGTGTTGTCTTGATTGCTTTATGATAACTGGTTTTCTATAGAGTTTGTGCACACTTGCATTAAAAAGAAGATTCCCTTCAATTCACAAGTCCATCTCCCCTGGATACAGATAAATTTGTATCTACCAGCTACATTTTCAATAACTCATACTTTGTATGATAATTGTAATAGTTGTAAATCTAAGGCACTAAAGATGTTTGCTTTAATAAGAAGACTGTAAAGATGAATTATTTTACAGAACATCACTAACCTTACAAATAACAGGAATCAGCTTGAGAAAAGCATCATGATTTTAACAGGCACTTTTGAAAATCCTTTTCAGTTACTAACATTTTATTTGAATCAGGTTTTTCCAAGATTCTCCAGTGTTCAGAGAGGCATCAGAAGAATCCAGCCCCACAGTGGCAGCCCTCAATGACACGTTACTTGCCGTCTCCTACTGCAACTCACAGATTTTTATCTCAGACCAACTTGCCAGGATTCACACTGATTTGACCATGCCAATGTTTTCAGGTACACTCATTCACTGAAAAGTAATAATAAATTTAAACAATTTTTTTTTTTGAAGACAAAGTTTATTGGTTTTTAAAAGTCTTTACTTTACTGTTGGAAAAAGGTAATTTATAAAACTGGGCTACAGTTTTTTAGAAATAAAAAGGACCTTAATTAAGGAGCCTTAAGTAACAAATGCCTTACGCTTCCACCAACCAGAAATCACCCAGAGATTCCACACTGCTCGCCCCTCAGTGAGACAGACATTGTTGAAATATCTCCTGCCCTGGCTGCACAACATGGAACTGGTTGACCCTTCACTTCCTCAGACATCGCCGCTGGCCTCATTTTTAACTAGGCTGAGCGACGCCCAGTCTGATGTGTTCATGCCACCTCTCAAAGGTGAAGGCTGGGGCTCAACACAGGCCACAGAGATGGTGCTCAACAACCTGTTTTACATTACTGTTACGGTGAGCTGGATAGGATTTTGGTCTCTGTACCACACCAATGGCAATGGTTGTATAAATGTAACCCTATACAATTGTATGTTTTGAAGGAATTAGCTTTTTTTAAGTAAAAAAAATATACTTACTGACGTATCATGGTACACAGACTCCCGGTGCCCGTTGACATTTAGGTTTTTGTTTCATTTGTTCACATTTTGTATACGATTGTTCTTTTCAGAACAATTAGGACAGGTCAAGATTTAACCATTTTCTAAAGAAATATTTTCTTCCCATACACACAACCACTTATGTGCTATTGAAATTTTTTGAATAAAGTTTTCACTTTTAAAATGGTTTCAGTTTGGTGATGAACATCCACTGGAAATTGAAGCACTCTGGGCCGCCTTGGTCTCTTGCTGGCCATTTAACTTAAAAGTCATCATTAGATATCTGATCATTATAACTAACATAGCAGCTACTGATCTTTTGCCCTATGTGAGTTTGTATTTAATATTCATTCACCACTAAGAAACGCTGAAAAGTTTTGAAGCACAATATTCCTATCGTTTATTACGATAATTTTGCACTTTTTTCCCCCTTCATATCTAAATAACGAAATTATCCTTTTCTGTAAATATAGAGCTGTGAAGAGTGTGCCTTTAAATAAATCTACCTTACTTACTTTCATCCTGGCCCATCTGTTAAATTCTACCCCTAGACAAAAATGTTAAAAATCGTATTACAAAGATTGACTATTCATCTTCTTTATTAAGGCCTTACGAAAAAATTATATTAAATTACAAAATAAATTGTTTTGGCCATTGAATTTAAATGAGATACTTTTCACTGTACTTATCACTTGCGATAGAACTGTACTTATCCCTTGACATATCACGGTACTTGTCCCATGACTCACTGTGCTTATCGTTGTACTTGTCTGTCTCAGGCCAAACGAGTTGTCACCTACCTGGGCAGAGCCAAACCTGAGAAGCTGGTGGATGAATTAATGAATGAGCTTCAGGTAATGTTCTGCTGATACAAACAAATGTACTCCCATCTCTATACTTAGAGGCTTACATTAATTAGCTTAGTTGAAAGTTTGCGTGTCTTATTAAATCAACTGAATAAATAGGTGCTTGTAACGGATATTTTTGGCTATGAGATCTTTAAGTAGGAAATGAATTTTGCTTTTAACCCTCTTGAGATGGAACCTGTTAGGACTGTCTTTGCCAAAAAGATGCTGCAGCCCTTATCACAAGCCCTTCACTTACTTTGCAAAAAAAATTATAAAAAATAAACTGATTACTTTACAAATATAAAACTATTTATATCCTTGTAGGGAATGGAATAAAATAGTAAGATCTTTATAAATCACACTGAAATATTAACATTTATGCTAATGAGATATTTTGATTTGCATAATTTATGCATGTAATTCTTTTCAAACATTTAAAATAAACATGTCTTACTTTAATAATTTTGTTAAATTTTATGATTGTTGACGTTTTAATAAGTACTAATCCATATTTGAATGAGATTCAATGTGAAAAACTGTGTAAAATGTTCCTCTGGGGCTGCTTATGCCTTTTGGCATATTTCAAGGTCACATATTTTTTAAAGCATTTAAAGGGATAAAAACACTATAAAATGACAACATACAATATCAATGGAAGCCGCCTTTAAAAAAAATGAGATGAAAAATGAGATGAGCATGAAATGGCAAGGCTTTTATTATTGGGCCGATAGATCAGTCTTTTGTCTTTTTCACCACTTTTTCAACACTCTGGGTAGATAGATCGGCCCAGCCATCTCATGAGGATTAAGTTATTGCCTATTTTTGTTATAGGAGCTTATAAAAATATCCCTCAATTTGAGTTAATAATAGTTATTAGTTAATTACTATAATTAGTTTTTATGTGATTTGTAACAGAAGTACCACTTTAATGTTTTGATGTCATCACGCAGACTGTAGAGACATTAAATGTGAACATAGAAAGAACACAGCCTCCCCCATACTACCGCCTGTCCAGCATCAAGAAAGTTGTGTCTGGAGCCAATGCAGCAGATGATGGGAAGCAGTTTAGTCCTCCCCCGGACTATCAAGAGAAGGGAATACTGCACACCAAGCGACACAGTGCCAATGAGGAGGTGCAACATGAAAGGTGGGCTGTCTTGATAGCATCACCATACAAAATTGCCATTAGCAGTTTCAACACACAAACTTGCCATTAATGGCATCACCATTAACTTGCTATAAATAGAATCACCATACAAACTTGCCATTCAAAGAATCACCATACAAACTTTCCATTCATAGAACTCTTATTGTAATAAATCAAGCTGTCATTAATCTTTTAAACAATGTCTATGTCATACCATATATTTAAACTGAGATTACTACAGATAAAATTCAAAACTCCATGTCTAACCTAAAGCGGTAACCAATCTTAATTCAGAGTAGCAGGTTTCTTAAAAATCTTGCAGTTAAGTAGGGTTTACTTATTCAAAATAACTGTGGCAAACAGTCAATGCCAACTTGTCTTCTTACTCTCCAGTACTCCAAGAACAAACTCCACAGCCTCCCTGAGGAGCATCAACAGCAACAGTACAGGATCAACAGCCGAACAGCCAGGTACACATCTTTTTTATTGGGGGTTGTGTTTTTCGAGGACTTTTATAATTTTCTATCAAATTTTTATTTTTGATCCAGGTCAAATGGATCAATCATTTTAATCTTCCCCCAACCACCATGGACAGGGGTTCAACTCTTATTTGTTCCCTAGGGGTTCAACTCTTATTTGTTCCCTAGGGGTTCAACTCTTATTTGTTCCCTAGGGGTTCAACTCTTATTTGTTCCCTAGGGGTTCAACTCTTATTTGTTCCCAAGGGGTTCAACTCTTATTTGTTCCCTAGGGGTTCAACTCTTATTTGTTCCCTAGGGGTTCAACTCTTATTTGTTCCCAAGGAGTTCAACTCTTATTTGTTCCCTGGCTTCAACTCTTATTTGTTCCCTAGGGGTTCAACTCTTATTTGTTCCCTAGGAGTTAAACTCTTATTTGTTCCTTAGGGTTTCAACTCTTATTTGTTCCCTAGTGTTGAACTCTTATTTGTTCCCTAGGGGTTCAACTCTTATTTGTTCCCTAGGGTTTCAACTCTTGTTTGTTCCCTAGGGGTTCAACTCTTATTTGTTCCCTAGGGGTTCAACTCTTATTTTTTCCATAGGGGTTCAACTCTTATTTGCTCCCTAGGGGTTCAACTCTTATTTGTTCCCTAGGGGTTCAACTCTTATTTGTTCCCTAGGGTTTCAACTCTTATTTGTTCCCTAGGGTTTCAACTCTTGTTTTTTCCCTAGGAATTCAACTCTTATTTGTTCCCTTGGGGTTCAACTCTAATTTGTTCCCTAGGGGTTCAACTCTTATTTGTTCCCTAGGGGTTCAACTCTTATTTGTTCCATAGGGGCTTAACTATTATTTGTTCCCTAGGGATTCAACTCTTATTTGTTTCCTAGGGGTTCAACTCTTATTTGTTCCCTAGTGGTTTAACTCTGATTTGTTCCCTAGGGGTTCAACTCTTATTTGTTCCCTAGGTGTTCAACTCTTATTTGTTCCCTAGGGGTTCAACTCTTATTTGTTTTCTAGGGGCTCAACTCTATTTGTTCCCTAGGGGCTCAACTAAGGGTTTAACTCTTATTTGTTCCCTAGGGGTTCAACTCTTATTTGTTCCCTAGGGGTTGAACTCTTATTTGTTCTCTAGGGGCTCAACTGTTATTTGTTCCCTAGGGGTTCAACTCTTATTTGTTCCCTAGGGGTTCAACTCTTATTTGTTCCCTAGGGTTTCAACTCTTATTTGTTCCCAAGGGGTTCAACTCTTATTTGTTCCCTAGGGGCTCAACTCTTATTTGTTCCCTAAAGGCTCAACTCTTATTTGTTCCCTAAGGGCTCAACTAGGGGTTCAACTCTAATTTGTTGCCTAGGGGTTCAACTCTTTTTTGTTCCCTAAGGTTTCAACTCTTATTTTTTCCCTAGGGGCTCAACTCTTATTTGTTCCCTCCTTCTTTTTACTATGCTGGCCTTTACTGGTGATTGTTTTAGTTAATGTCATTGAACTTTTAGCTGTGTTTTTCATATCAAGTCTCTCAACTAGAATTTGATAACAATTGAGTTTGGTCATTTAGTGCAGTTGTAAAACAATACTTATTAAATGATTTGCTTCCCAAATACCGATCTCCCCCTCCCCCTCCCATTAAAACCTGTTCTTTGAATTGACCTAGATTGACTAATTTGTTTGTCTAATTAGTATTATCTGTCAACAGATTGTGTAATTGATGATTTCAGTTTTTATTTCAGATGACGATGTCATTGGTGCTCCTCCCTCAAGAGCGGGTGTGGAGCTGCGGCGCAGTGAATCCCCCGCCCCCTACCCCCTCCCAATGCCTGCCTACGGGGGATATTATGCCCCGCTGAATGAATGTCTGCCTGAAAACTTTACTCCAACCCCTGGGTTTCACAGGTATCTTAAACTCCATTTCACATAATTCTTAATATTCCTGGATATGAACCCCAATCATTGGGGTAGGGGGGATTATTATAATATTATTGAGATACATATGATCATATTACAAAACTGAGATAGAAATGATTATAATTATAATATGATTGGGGTACATGTGATTATTATTATATGATGGGGGTAGAAGTGATTATAATATGATTGGGGAACATATGATTATTATTACAAAAGCGAGGTAGAAGTGATTATAATATGATTGGGGTACATGTGCTCATAATTAAATGTTTGTTGTCAGGGTCATATGTGAATTGGAAGTATAATTTTTTGAATGGTTGAAAATGGAACAACCTTTTCAAAATGTTAATTTTTTCTACAGTTGTGATCAGGTGTATCTGCCATTGGTACTCAACATATTTGCCATTGGTACTCAACATATTTGCCATTGGTACTCAAATGGTACTCAACATATTTGCCATTGATACTCAAAATATTTGCCATTGGTGCTCAACATATCTGCCATTGGTACTCAACATATCTGCCATTGGTACTCAATATATCTGCCATTGGTACTCAACATATTTGCCATTGGTACTCAACGTATTTGCCATTGGTACTCAACATATCTGCCATTGGTACGCAACATATCTGCCATGGGTCCTCAACATATTTGTCATTGGTACTCAACATATCTGCCATTGGTACTCAACATATCCGCAATCCATTATTCCCAATTTAAAGATCTTTTGTAATAAATGACTTACATTTAAATGCATTTTCATGTGTAAATAATCAGATGAAGATAAATATCACACTTTGCCTATCTTCAAATCCATATTTCTTGGCAAAATTTCAAAATCTTACATTAAAATAATAATCCAAGGACATGGGGCTTGTGAAGGACATGGGCTGGTGAAGGTCCTACTTGACATGTGCCCAGTGTCTCGACACAATCTGCTTTTAGCAATGGATCTTTCTACTTCCAATAATTCATACAAAGAAAGCCCTTTCCGTGTTTATTTTATCTACTTCATACGCTGCATATAATGATACAGAGTGAATGACTTAATCATGACTATTTTAAGTTAGCCACAAAAACAGCAAATAAAACTACTGGAACGTAAAAATTTGGGAATCAATGCCTCACAAACCTTAAGTTTCTGGTTGTTAGTTTTAAGTTGCAGGGTGCAGCAAACTCACCAAAAATGGTGAAATTGTCAAGAAATAGAGTAGTATTTAATTTACTTCATCATAAAGTAAAACCAAGGCAAGGGTCTTTCTGAAAAAAAAACAAAAACAACCACATGTATTTTGGCACCAGAGTGTAAATGAGTTTGAGAAGCACTGATTGAAAGCAATCTAACCAAAGTATAGTGCAGCTCTACCATAACTAATGTCAACAGTAGTACTGATAATCTTCTCTACAGGAGCAACATTGCCGTTATGTTCCTGTGCGACCTAGTTTTGGATGGCATGGAGGTGGACTGGTCGCCACATTTACCTCTGATGCTACATGTGATATTCCTAGGTAACTTTGTCACTGTCACTCTGTCCGATGTCTCCTGCTGTGTTGTTAAAAGTGATACAAATGATTTCAACTTGTTAGTGATATATTTTGTAGAAACAGGTCCTGCAGGACAACTGTTGCTAAGCTTAAGGGGAGTTTCAAATAGCCTTTGTCTCCATCAATCATAGAGATGTTCCACTCATCATTTGTTCCACCATCAGTCATAAAGATATTCCATTCATCATTTGTTCCACCATCAGTCATAAAGATATTCCACTCATCATTTGTTCCACCATCAGTCATAAAGATGTCCCACTCATCATTTGTTCCACTATCAGTCATAAAGATGTCCCACTCATCATTTGTTCCACTATCAGTCATAAAGATGTCCCACTCATCATTTGTTCCACCATCAGTCATAAAGATGTTCCACTCATCATTTGTTCCACCATCAGTCATAAAGATGTCCCACTCATTTGTTCCACCATCAGTCATAAAGATGTTCCACTCATCATTTGTTCCACTATCAGCAGTCATAGAGATGTCCCACTCATCATTTGTTCCACCATCAATCATAGAGATGTCCCACTCATCATTTGCTCCACTATCAGTCATAAGATATTCCACTCATCGTTTGTTCCACCATCAGTCATAAAGATTTTCCACTCATCATTTGTTCCACTATCAGTCATAGAGATGTCCCACTCATCATTTGTTCCACTATCAATCATAGAGATGTCCCACTCATCATTTGTTCCACCATCAATCATAGAGATTAGAGTCCGACCGAATTTCGGCTTCGGCGCCAAAAGTGGTCATTTTATCACTTTCTGCCAAGTTTCGGTTTCGGCCAAAACTGAAAGTTAACTTTCGGCTTAATTTCGGTTTCGGTTGAAAGAGAAAAGTTAACTTTTGTGTTTTTTTTCGGTTTCGGCCGAAATTGACTTAGACTTTCGGCCATCCGGCCGAAAGTGACAGAGTTTTTTGGTCATCTGATTCTCAGCAAAAGCGATATTTAACAACAAACTAAGCGACATTTAAGAACAAACTAAATTATCTTTAAGAACAAATTAAGCGATCTTTAAGAAAAAACTAAACGATCTTTAAAAACAAATGAAGTGATCTTTAAAAACAAATAAAGCGATCTTAAATAAAAAAATAAACCATTTTAAAGAAAAAATTAAGCGATTTTTAAGAACGAACTAAGTGATCTTTAAGAACAAAACAAATGATCTTTAATAGTAAACTAAATGATTTATAAGAATAAACTAAGCGATCTTTAACAGAAAACTAAATGTTCTTTAGGAACAAACTAAAAGATCTTTAACAACAAACTAATCGATCTTAAGGAACAAAATCAATTATCTATCAGAACAAACTAAGCGATCTTTATGAAAAAACTAAGCAATCTTCAACAACAAAATAAGCGATCTTTAAGAACAAACTAAACGATTTTTAATAACAAACTAAAAGATCTATAAAAACAAACTAAATAATCTTTAAGAACAAACTGAATGATCTTTAAGAACAACTAAGCGATATTTAAGAACAAAATAAATGATCTTTAAGAACAAACTTAGCCATCTTTATGAACAAATTAAGTGATCTAGAAATCCTAAACAGATGTTAAAGCGATAATTTTTTGTAAGTATGCTAGACATTTCATGAAGTGCTTAAGGGATAATGAGGAAGCAAAAAAATATTCACCAACTTTTATAGAATTTTCCTTCGTTGAACAGGTTTGGACCATTCCAGAGCTCTAGTGTATGAGCATTGTAAAAAGTTGCTCCAGAATCTCCTCCTTCTGGCAGCCTCACAAGAGCAGATTTCTGTGGCAACGTCACGTCTCCTGCTGTCTTACAGAAGTTCTGTTGCGGATACTTTGAAAGTCATATCAGAAGATCGAGATGCTCAGCTTACATTAGGTAGGAATACCATTTTAACTATTTAATTAAGAAAATTTAGGATTATTAAAATGTATGAAATTTTAGAATTTAACATGGCTCATACTTTCTTCACAAATATTGAGCTATATTGATGTCATCTACATTTAAGCTAATTTGGCTCAATCTGTTTATTTGTTGTGCCCTATGTGCTGTGGGTAATAACATCAAAATCTCTTCGATATATGTAACTATATCTATTCAACCCTAGAAACCCCATCAAGAGATCCTTACATTCAGTACATCACAAAGTCCACCTTCAGCATTGACAGCAGTGCCACAGTGACCCCAGACAGCACCAGCGACTATACAGACCCTGAGATGTTAAACACTGTTGATGATGTTATCAGGGCAATGCTCAACTTTATGGAGTCAAGGTATGAATACTTAAACTGTTTTAATTTTTAAATACTGGATAGTCAGGAAAAAAGTTCTCAATGTTATTTCTACACTTTGTAATAATTGTCAACTGATACTTTATGAATGAATCTATTGCTCCTTAAGAAGATGTGTTGCTATAATTTATTCTCAGAAAAGGCAGGCCCTTATGGAGCTCTGAGGACATTACACCAAAAATGCTGAGCACCCAGAGCGCCACACATTTAGGCTACTTCCTGAAATACACGGTTAAATGTTTCAAAGAGCTGTCCCCTTTGGCTCTGGTTGAACAACGCTGGTCCCAGGTGGCGCTCCAGTTGGCTTTATCCTGCTCTTCCCGACATTACGCCGGCAGGTCATTCCAGATTCTTCGAGCCCTCCTCATTCGACCGTCAACTCAGATGTTGTCAGACATCTTGTCTAGACTAGTGGAGACTGTTGCAGAGCAAGGAGAAGACATGCAGGTAACATGTCTTGGAATAGATTATTTAAAATTTTGATCAATAAAAGAAAACTTAAATTTAGAAAATAAAACCAACTGATTATTGGATCATCAACATGTTTTTGGTCATTATTGAGCCAAAAATTCCTTTGTGATTTTCTTTGAAAAATCATATGCCATTTTAAAACAACACCAATTATTTTCTACCTGAGCTCCAAAGTAAGTCTTTCAAATTGTTTCATTGCTTGACTGACTTTGTAGTTGAGATATCAGTTGGTAACATTAAACATTTGTTTCAGATAGTTCACATTTAAAATTGATTTTTTGAAAAACAACATGTGGTAAAAATAGTAATTGTAAATAGCAGGTGATCGCAGGCATTTAAAGAGCATGCAATGTTTTTCTACTGATAATCCAAGATTATCTGTTGTTAATAATACTGACCCATGAAATGTAAAACTGTGTTAAACTATTATGTTTGTTGATCTAGGGATATGTCACTGAGATGATGCTCACTCTAGAGGCTTCAATCGACAACCTCGACCTTGAATTCAGACCCATTGATTTCATGCGAGAACTTTTCATGTCAACCCCCAACCTGGCCAAAGATTTTGGTGACACAAGACGCAGTGCCATAACTGCACCCAAACACACCCAGGCCCATCACGCCCGCAGCACCAGCTACACAGTGTCAGCCTACACCCAGAGGGCATATGCCGGAGGAGGTAGGGTCGATACAGCAATGTTAGAATAAGTCTTGGTTAATTGATAGGCACGTAGCATATCATTTTGTACCTGTACATTCTTGTAGCACAATGTTCAATGAAGATAAATTGACATTTGTAGTTAAAAAAAAACAATTGATTTACTGAGTGTCCTCTTACTTTCTTCTTTTGTTTTGAACACAGAAATTTGAAGACTTTCTTACCTTTTATGAACTTTGACCAGTGACCTTCTTGAAATTATAAACATGAAATAGTTTGTTGTACTATTGCATCTTTCTTCCCTTCTTTTAAAAAGGTTATGCTCCCTCATTGCATTTTCTTATTTTAATATATTTTATAAGTTTGTTGTGGCCCGTGCCATGTTTTTTATTTTGTAAACGTGGTTTGCCATGAAATGCGCACCGTTTCTGTACATTTACTAGAAAGAAAGAGCCAGAACAGAGGCTCTGAGCATCTACATCTCATTGTGTGAACATGCAACCTTTTTTCAGAATGTGTCAAATGTGCCCATCAAGCCAGAAGAAGAAGATTCTTGGAGATTTCCAAGGGTACTATATTATAGACTGTAAATCAGCCTATCATAACATTTACTTAAACCAACGGCTTAGTGTATTATGTGACTGCCCATCTTGTTCTATCTGGGTTAACCCCCGACAGAATGGTTCAACTTCAGATCATTCATGAACTCCTTGCATTTACTTCAATCCCTGACAAGAAACACTATCAAGAACAAACCGCCCTCAAGGCACCACCCACATGATATAAACTAGTTAAACAAAGATCTCTACTTGAGAGTAAAGTTCACCCAGAATGTTTACCAAATTAACCCCTTTTTTAAAACCATTAGTAACCTATGGACAACTTACAAAAACATTGTGGATAATAGTATCAAAGATAGAAATATCTAGTTGGTAGACTTTGAAATTATTGGTGAAAATATTCATGTTAGTGCACAACAAAACTACAACCTACCATTATTTTAATGAGAGATAACTTAGATAGTTCCATTGATCTTGGATTGAATTATTTTATTCAATGATGGGCAGTCATATTTCTAAAAGCATAATTGATTTATTGGCTTACAAACTCTGTTTTCTTATACAGCTGTTTTCTTTGGTTGGTTCCTTGCCCTGCAAACATGTATCAAATCTCTCAATCTTTTAGTACATTTCTGTGTAAAAACTGACAATCAACAATAATATCTCAAGAAATGTGCTTCTTAAAACACATATTTGACCATCCGGCTGTAACATGACACTGCTGAGCTATTAGACCATCACACTGTAACATGATACTAATGAGCTATTTGACCATCTCACTGTAACATGATACTGCTGAGCTATTTGACCATCACACTGTAACATGATACTGCTGAGCTATTTGGCCATCACACTGTAACATGACACTGCTGAGCTATTTGACCATCACACTGTAACATGATACTACTGAGCTATTTGACCATCACACTGTAACATGATACTACTGAGCTATTTGGCCATCACACTGTAACATGACACTGCTGAGCTATTTGACCATCACACTGTAACATGACACTGCTGAGCTATTTGACCATCACACTGTAACATGACACTGCTGAGCTATTTGACCATCACACTGTAACATGATACTAATGAGCTATTAGACCATCACACTGTAACATGATACTAATGAGCTATTTGACCATCACACTGTAACATGACAGTGCTGAGCTATTAGGCCATCACACTGTAACATATGACACTGCTGACCTATTTGACCATCACACTGTAACATGACACTGCTGAGCTATTTGAGTTGTGCAGTGCTCTAGTTGCAGCCACTGTTTGACTGTTGTAATTAATCATCTTCATATTTCTCTTGTCTTGCTTCCATGGTGTCTGAATGTCAAAGGTCTGAAGGTTCATTTATCCATCTATCCTTTTTAACGCTAGCTCAAACTTAAAATAGATACATTTTCTCTCTTATGTTTTTATAATCATTTCTCTTATATTAGCATAGTTGCTGATGGTCACTTTGAAGATTCAGCCATCGGATTTTCCTCCGACCAGACTGTATCTACTTCATAGAATAACCTGTTTTTGTAACGTTCTCATGGCTGTGGGTCTGAATATTTTGTATGAGTTTATTGACTGATAGACATTTTACAGTTCCTTAATGAGAATGAATGGACCAAGTGGAAATAGCAGCCAAATATTGCAGTTCTCCTCAACCCCCAGGTTCAATGGTTACTTCAATAAGGGGAACATTTTCTCTACTGCATGAACATACGACTTCATTCTATTGACAGATTTTATTTGAGACTGTCTGCACTTGTGTTTCAACAATCTGTACCAAGTTTTGGGGTCAAGCATTATTCATATGGACACCATCACCATTACAATTGCATTTTAAAATCTTTTTTTTTTTTAAATTCATAGGCATCATTTTAAAATGATAGCCTCCCTTCCCAAAGCTTTCAGGCATAGATAGTTCCCCTTTATTAGATTAATGTTTGGCATTTTATTTAGTGCTATTAGTTACAACTTTAACAAATCTTAACATAGAGTTTGATATTTTACAACTACAAAAAAATCTTTTTATTTTGAGACCATTTCAACCCATTCTCTCCATATAGGCAAAAATAATTTTTTAAATGTTTTATCATGCCTCTTTAAAGTTATGAAAGGTAAATTCAAATTCATACAAATTTAACAAAGAAGATTCAGAAAAGAAAAAGCAGTATCTTGAAATTAGATACAGATCTAACTAGTTATATGATGATAGGAAGAAGAGAATTAGTCCACTGACTGTAACTTCTACCAGTGATCATTAACACATCTTCTTGGGATTTCAATTGTTCATTGATAGTCCATTGAGCATTAAATAACAATACTTTGCAATACCATTCAGAAATAAAAATTATGTCAAATGTGTAGATGCACCCTCACAATATAATCTTTATGTCAGACCTGGTTACTCTTATGAGCATTGGCATTCAATATACGGTTTTGAGATTATGATTGTACGTTGAGACCTTTCAGAACTGGGATTTAAAAAAAATTTATTGTTAATTTTAGCCCCTTTGTGCATCCAGCGATGAATGGACAGTGAAATACAAATGGTTGAGGACCATCCATAATTATGTTACGTACATGCTGAGTGTGGAAAGGCGGGTGTGGTGTTGAATTAGGAGCATATAGGTGTGCATGAGGGAGGGGCGAGGTGTCTAAATATTTATAAAGGCTACCGTATAAAATAACATCGCCTCGTTTGATAAAGATTTTGATGATCGTAAAATTGATGCTTATTGTTTTTACAATGAACTAGATTCAGCAGCAGTAATTTTAGCATAGTCGACCTAGTGACAAATTTTGTTAACATTTGCTTTTGTTTGCTTCAGTGCGCAGCCCCCCTCCCCCCCCCCTCAGGTGACTTTGGTGGGCGTCCTCTATTGCCACTCCCCCACCCCATCTTCTTCGGTCAAAGTGAGAATCGGGGAAAAGTGAGAAGCACTCTATATAAAAATATATGAACGTCAGTCATCTACTTTAGGGAATGACCTTCATTAGGCATGCATTGGGAATAGTTGTTGTATATATTAATACTGTATGTTTATTTATTTACTATTATGATAAAGTATTTTACAATTTGGGGATGGTAAAAGTAGGCTACTATTCTGAGACAATATTGTATTATTTTGGGAGTACCAGAGTAACCAGGTCTGGTATGTAATATGTTATACAAGACTAGAAGCATGTGCCATATTCTTTATTTTAATTGAAAGTAAATAAATTATAGACCATCTCCTTATCCAAGGGTGTTTAACTTAATGACATTGTCACAACAGACAACAAAATAAGCCGTCACAGATAAACTTTTGTCATGGTTTTGGATTTCTATTACTTGTAACTGTGTTCTAAAGACATTTTTTCAGCTTTTGGTACAAGGCTTTGAACAACACCAACTTTTCACTTGATTTCTTCTTTCCTTGATGGGAAGGGAGTTTAATTTTTAACTCATTGTTTTAGTGTCAGTTTTGACATTTTTTTTTTGTAAATCATCTACTATTAGAAAATATTAATATTTCTAATTATTTATTTTTTATCTAAACTAATAAAACAAAATCTTTCATCTTTCATTTGAAATGCATTTGTGTCAGTAAAGTTAATACATTTCTCTCAATGCTTTGTAACAATTTAGCAATGCCAAGGTATTTTTGTCATTGTTTTTACAACTGTAATTTTCTTATCATCTCTATGCAAACTCACTCTTGATGAAAACAAACATGTTTATTATTTATAGTGTGATCTAAACTTACAGTAATTACAGTGTGTGAGACATGAAAAGAAATTTTGTCACTAATCTTAGGTTAAAATGTTTACATTTTTATGCCAGGATACACTCATACTGTCCCAGATATGGACTATGTATTCAAAGTAATAGCCAATTAAATTTTTTCCATGACATTTGAGTAATTAAGTTACAAGAAAATGGTGCACAGTAAATTTGTGAATGTGAGACGTAAGCTTTTAATGAATGGTTATGGCTGAGTTTTAATCACTTGGCTTGTTGATGTTGAAGGTGATGGAAGAATACGAAGCTGTACTGAGGTTGAGAGTCGCAAGTCCAACCTGGCACGTTCTCGATCTGCTCAATCTCTTAAAAATCTGGATCAGTCTGGAACAGAAGACAAGCTGACGCTTGTGACCCAGATGTTCTGGATAACGGTGTCGCTACTGGAGTCCGATTATGAGTATGAGTTCACTTTGGCTGTCAGGCTCCTGGACAAGGTCAGTCAAAAATGAAAAAAGCTGTTTATTTTAGGCAGATCTTGTGATCTAGTACAGCGTTTCCCAAACTGTTAAATTTCAGGGACCGGTGGACAAGTTACAAAACTGCACCAGGGACCGGTGCCAGATTTATTAAATACATTTTCTTTCTATTTAAACATCAATACTCATGTCCTCTGGACCGGTAACGTAAGGCTTGCGGACCGGTACCGGTCCACGAACCACCGTTTGGGGAACACTGATCTAGTAGATACACTATACTAGACTCTGAGACATCATTTTATGTGTTCTCATTGTAAGTGTGTGTAATCTCAGTGATAAGTAGAACTATCGTTTGTCCAAAGAGAGGAGGAGGGGGAATTTATATAGATTTAAAAAATAAAATCCTCTTGGAGCCCATCTCCACCCTCTCCACAGATTTCAATGATCCCAAGTTTCATTATTACCCAATCCCGTGCCCTGTCCCACTGTCCCATCCCCGGAAGGACTTAAAAAATAAACTATCTTCGACATCAAAAAGTCCGCACTCTCAATAAAACTAATAAAATGATTCATTTCAACTCCAACTGTCAGATCCTGTGTCACCTCCAGCCAGAGAGACCAGAGTGCCGAGACAAGCTGGACAAAGTCTTGAATCAGATCAAGTGGCCAAACTTCCCTGGGGTCTACATTTTGTTGATGAAGGTATAAAACAGGCTGGTCATCTAGAAATGAAACTTTATGCTCATTAATTGATAGTCATTAGTGAGCTTATGTTTGACCAACTTTCTGTCAACTTTATAATACAGGTACAGAACCTTACAGGGTAAAATATGTTAGACAGCTCATTCTAAAGGATCTCGTTAAAATATCAATATTAGGTGCCCTCTCATGGTAAAATGTGTAGTGAAATTTTGTGAACTAAGCAAAACCCAAAAGGACTGCTGCATAACTTGAACTAACTAGGTGTAACTTACAACAACAAGCCACTCTTGGCATCTTAAGTAATGCAGAAAGTTGGTACTTAAAATAATTTGCTTTTGACAATTTTATTGCTTGACATTGATTAAAAAGATCTTTCATGCAGTGGGACTTAGGACATGCATTTTTCATGATAGAAAAGTATTTACTCAATATTCAACTGGACTTAGTCTGTTATATGTGATCAGAACTTGAATGAAATGTACTCAGAAATGTGTAGATCATTGACCTGCTTCTTGATCACCAGCAGATAGCATGCTATAAACCCAAGTTAAAATCTCATGAGCCTATTAATGTTTTGAACACTTCCCGCAGGGCTGTACGTCTCACATGGCTGCAGAGGCGACATGGGCACTGCTGTCTAAAATAATTCTCTGTGTCAACTCACCCATCATAGACACGTCTGGTCACCTAGGTAGGTCAAGGTCAGAACGGACTATACTTCTCTGACACAACAGGTCAGAAGAAATATGGTGACTGGTACAGTCATATAAATTGCTAGACCATCTCCGTTTGTGGAGAAGGATCAGGAGTTTTGGGTGTGGGTTGTCTTAACTTTGGACCCTTTACTTCTTGCCCTTATTCAGTTATTAGTTTAAGGTAGCAATACATCTTTAGTTTGGATTTAGATGTTTAAAAAGACCCATGGGCAGTAGGATTAGAACTTAGTTTACATCATGTAGCAATGAAGTCGGCTGATTTGAATGCATCTTCCTCCTAGGCTTCCCACTGGTGACGATAGCATTGCTTCCATACCTTGTACACAACTATGAGAATCCAAGTCAGATCTGCAGAGATGCTGCTGACAGAGTGGCCCAGGTGAGCACATCATCATATTGCTTGTATCAGGACATCCTACGTCATACTGGTCACATCATAACATCATACTACTATTACACTGGTTATATCATGACATCATATTATTACACTGATTATCTCATGACATCTTACCGTTACACTGATTATCTCATGACATCTTACCAACACACTGGTTATGTTATGACATCTTGCCATTACAACTGTTATATCATAACAACTTACCATTACAATGTTTATATCATACAAATCTAACCATTAAACTCGGTTATATCACGACATATTATTACAATGTTTATATCATAACATCTTACCATCACACTGTTAACCTCATGACATCACAATGTTTATATCATGACATCTTACCATCACACTGTTAACCTCATGACATCACAATGTTTATATCATGACATCTTACCATCACACTGTTAACCTCATGACATCACAATGTTTATATCATAACATCTTACCATCACACTGTTAACCTCATGACATCACAATGTTTATATCATGACATCTTAACATCACAATGGTTATGTTATGAGATCTTTTATCATGAAAAAGATTTCCAGGCAGATTTTACTGTTCTGCAAATCAATTTTTTAAATGTTTAATCAGCGAGGTTTAGTGGACCAAAGATATGAGTCTGATCTATCAGCGGCGACCATGTCAATGAATTTGGTTGTCAGTAGATAATTTGGTTGTCAGTAGATAATTTGGTTGTCAGTAGATAATTTGGTTGTCAGTAGATAATTTGGTTGTCAGTAGATAATTTGGTTGTCAGTAGATAATTTGGTTGCAAAGGGTGTCCAGATTTTCTAAAGAGCTCCGATGTTCAGAACGTGAACAACACCTAGTTTCATGCCTTTTTGTTTTGTTTTTTTAAGATGTGCAGCCATCAAGGTGACAGACTGACCAATCTGGCAACTGTGATGTCTCTCTACAGCAGAGGAACTTTTGGCAAGGACAGTTTTCAGTGGACCAAGTGTGTGGTCAAGTATTTGTTGGATGTTTACTCATCCAGTGCCATTAGCATGGTCACTTTCTTAGTGGAGGTTGGTTTTATTGACAATGACAAATTTTTTATTGTATTTCAAAAAGAAATAAATAAGATTAATCTGTCAAGTAACCATTTGGAAAACTTTAGCATCGCCTGAAATAGAATAGGCCACAGAAACTGTGGGGGATTGAGTTAAATCTTCTTGGTATTCTACCTTTAAACATCTGTATAGTCATTGCTGAGACTCGGTAGAGTCACTGCTGAGACATAATGTAGTCATTGCTGAAACCTGGTATAGTCATTGCTGAGACCTGGTAAAGTCATTGCTGAGACCCGGTTTAGTCATTGCTGAGACCCGGTATAGTCATTGCTGAGACCCGGTATAGTCATTGCAGAGACCCGGTATAGTCATTGCTGAGACCCGGTATAGTCATTGCTGAGACGCGGTATAGTAATTGCTGTAACCCATGTAATTCATGATCCGTTTGTTTCCAATCATTCTTCCTAGGTTCTTGAGAAAGGCCAACAAATCTACCAAACATCTTGCCTACAGATTCTCTACTGTATGGTCCACTACCTTGACATTGCCACAGCTCCAAGCTCTTTCCTCAACCAAGAACTTTTCCAAGCTATAAACAAACATGTGCAGGTGATTATTGGTGGTATATTGGGAACATAGAGCAGTTGCCATTGAAGGTATATTGGGAACATAGAACAGTGGTTATTGGCGGTACAGTCGGAAAGTAGAGCAATGTTCTCAATTGGTCATTCGCCTGGCAACCAGCTAATCAATGTCTTAGAAGATGAGAAAATTCATGTCTCATGTAAATGCTCCCAAAACACTTTTCACCCTGCAATTATCTGTTAAGGGCTGTTACGTCACTAGTAATCTGCTGAGAAAAGATCTTTCTACATATAATTGTATCAGGTAAATGGGCAATGTCTCTGTTTAACATCAGCATGAAAGCAGGTTATTTTATTTTACTGGGATAAAAAGGCATCAATTTATTTGCTGTTATCCTTAACTTGAATGTGTGACACCAATCACTTGGCAGCAGACAACTATCATACTGTCAGTCACTTAATCCAGCTTTCACATGATCTGTAATCCTTAAACTACATGTGTCAGTCACTTAATCCAGCTTTCACATGATCTGTAATCCTTAAACTACATGATGGTCAAGTCAGTTCCAAAAGATAAAAGTTGTGGATTCTTTAAAAAAAATTCTTGTAGCTGCCCAGCAATGTGTTCAATGCTCAATTGATGTGACATGATCGTCACCTTGTTTGTGCAGACCAACAACTGGAGAGAAGCCCTGAAGATCCTCAAGCTGGCCGTCACCCGTTCATCCACCCTTGCCACTCCACCTCCGTCATCGCAAACATCCATCCCCTCCAGCGATCTGACGGTGTTTGCCACTCACACCTCGTTTGCCGAAGCTGAAAGTCTGACCAAGTTTAGCAAAGAACTGCCAGGTGGGAAATGATTCAAATAACACTTGTGATATATATCCTCCTGAGGGGGATGTAATATGCACTTGTTAAAAAATTAGTATGTTAACTTCAATATTTTCAACTAAAAATGTTGACATTATTTTTCTTATGTTTCACAGCAGTCATGAATGACTTGAAGGGTTCAGTACGTAAAGCTTATACAAATAATAAATTAGAAATTCATGGAGGTAACTATTCAAAAGCTATTATCTTTGAGTTCATTGTTTTATTTGATATGAATCGTGAATACAGGTCGCACGTTAGATTTCACCATTGACCTGTCGAGAACTCCCATAATCGGCAGAAGATATTTCTCACCTGACAACTTCAAACCCACTGCCCTTGATGACAAAGAAAAGACTCCATCCACCAGCGGCTCGGCTGTTTCCCTGTCTCGTAAACCATCCAACAACCAGGATATTGACTCTGTCTGGCGCAGACCTCAGGCTTCACAGGTAATGACATCAGGCTTCACAGGTAATGACATCAGGCGTCACAAGTCATGACTCCGGGCTTCACAGGTAATGACATCAGGCTTCACAGGTATTGACATCAGGCTTCACAGGTATTGACATCAGGTTTCTTAGCTCAATTTGGGATCTCTTTTCATTTATCCACTATTTTTCCACTGGAATAATTTGATTAGGTGCATGATGTTACTATGTTGTTACTGACTATAAATAGCCATGAAGGGGTAAGACAAGTTTGTCTCTTCAAGAAGGCAACAGATCTATAAATAGCTGCTGTTCATGGGCCTAGCTAAGCCATCAAATACTTGCCAAATAATCCAGGACAATGGTTCGAAATCTTTTAGGGACCTAGTGCCCAGCTGCAACCCAAAACCCAATTCTTTATTGCAAAGTGCCAACAGTGCAATTAAACCTGAATACAGAGGTTCTAGTTATTTGGATGCTGGACCCACTTGGTTAATATGAGTAATGGCTTAGCCTGTGTCAAGAAGTTGGAACAACAGCTTGTATGTCTATAGCAGCTGAGAATGTGAAAGCACGAACACATCCATCAATGATTGTTATCATTGTCAAGAGATTGTTGTGACCCAAAGGCCACCAAGCACCATTTCTGGCTGTGTATGTTGACTCCTCCTGCAGTCATATTGATCTTCAACATTGTAACATTGAAACAGAAAATGCAGGATTGCAGCAATGAATTGTTTTATTGTTTCATATTAGAGAAGAATTGTTGCTTATAATTTTAAAATAACTGTTACATTTAATTTACATCCCAATAGGCACGAGTTAGAGAGCGATTGGTCAACCTCTTGACCTGCTTCGGCCAGCGTGTCGGACTACCCAAGAGCCCATCTGTAAGTATTTCCAGAGGTGATGCATGCCAGAGTAGCATTGTTTCATATTTCTTGTCTTTATCACCTGTCAGAGTCTGTCTATCAGTCTACCTCTCCTTTGCTATTGTAAATCCCATTTTAATTTTTTTTTTCCTTCTTAACTGAAAGGGGTTCTCACGATATTTTATTTGTAAACATCTTAAACTTTATATTTATGATTAACACATATTCCATTTCATGTACTAAGAGGATCAATTATTGAAAACTTAACATTCTTTGCATATATTTATGAAATATCATTGAACTTAACAAAAAGAGGATATTGATAAAAAATAGTATTAAAGTGTTCAATGAATCCAGCTATATCCACTGTAGTTCGTCCCAAAACACCCTGGAACAAAAAAAAATTATTGATTTAAACATTGACGCTTTCTTAACTTCAGCTGAACATAAAATCTTTCTTTGAAGATAAATATAAAAAAAGTACAAGTAAATACTAATGGAATGGAAGGTGGTTTTGTGGTTCAGAATTTTCTGGCAAGTCAGAGAGACTGGTTTAGATTAATCAACATTTTTTTTTTTCTTCCTTGAACCAAATTAATTTCTTTAAAACATGAACATTTAATATGGATTAATTAATGATAATTAGAAAAAGAAATTTCTTTGTTACTTGAGTCCAGTAGTCTTGGACTGTTAATTTCATTGTTTAGCCAAGTTTTTAAAAATAATTCATAAGATAAAATTATTGAAAGATTAATGATGAGAAGAAGTAGCTGCTAGTTAAAATGACATATCATTGTCTTACATAATTGATGGTATATTTTCTATATTAACAGAAAGGAATTAATTAGATAGAAGGATATAAGTATGCAGAATAGTTGCATTCTGGGGACCTACACTTTGTTGTTTTTTGTTCCATTCTTGAAAAAAATTATGTGGTTATCAAATAATTTAAAATGGTAACATTTTTTCAAAGAAACAAAAAAATCTTCAATGTTTAAAAACCTATTTACTAACTTCTCATTAACAAGATGGTGTTTTTTTTTAAGTGTCAATTTTTATATTGAAATAATTAAATCATCAGATATTCTCCATTATATACTATTACTGCTATTGATTTCCAAAACTTTCCCTGAGTTTTAGACACTGCAAATCTTTTTCATACAAAGTATTTACTTTTATAAAGTTACTTCCTGTCCTTCTTACAAATTTGTAACATATTTATGTCACCATTTGGATTTTCCAAAGCTTGCATTTTGTCATTCTCAAACTGCATCACTCATCCCTTACAGTAGTTATTATCACCCATTTTTTTCCCCTTTCCAAAAACGTAAAGAAACATATGTTATAAGTGGGTTGTGCATAGGAGAAAGAATCGATACATTTTTAAAAATTAGTTAGCCATTAAATAAGGAAGAATTTTTAAAGTTGTTTACAACTATTGACTATGTTTTTGTTAGGCCCCGGGTTCACTAAAATAATTGTCAGTGTGTGTAACCTAACCAGGGTATGTTAAACAACAGGGCTAGAAACCTCAACATAATTCTTTTGTATTTATTCATAAATTAAAGAAGTAAAATTTCCAAGCAATAAATAAAAAGTTTTCTATTTAAATTGAGAAGAAAGGGGTTGACTGGTTAGCCAGGTGTAAAAAATATTATTGTATGTTGTACATCACCTTTAACTTTGCCTGCCTGGTTGTCTAACTAGGACACAGTTATCAACAAGGTAAGCTCAACTCATCTATTTTTATATCCCAATTCCTTTTCTTGCGCCCTCTTATTTTATTTGGAGTGTCATATGGTAAATCTCTTTCAAATGTTGGAGAGATGTGTTAGGCATTTAACCAAGACGGTGGGGGGGGGGGGCACATTTGTTGACCAAGATTCACCAGCTGATTGTATAAAAAAAAGGAGCTTACAGTGAGAACTTTTATATGCACTGCACCCATTAAAGGTTTATTTTGATTTAATTCGTTGACCCTATGGCAATTTTAAAATTTTGTAATCCCTGAGAAAATTATTCTGGCTGGGGTGCATTTTCTTTGAAAGGAAGCTGCAATCATTTTAAATTTATTGAAAGATAATTTTTTTTTAAAACATACACCACAAGCAATAGCTGTACAAAGAATAATTCTATGCAGTAAAAAAAATATTAAACTAATATTCCAATATTTAAAAATAGTAAAATGCATGTGTTTTTGTGTGTTTATATATATGTATGTTACTATTTTTAAATATTGGAATATTAGTTTAAGGTTTTTTAAGAAATAATTTATTCTTAAATAGTTTAATATCTGCATTTGCTGACAAGAAATCTGTGTCAGTAAAGTTATTTTTATTATTTCATCACTTTATTGGGTTGGACACCAGACCATCTATTTGATATTGCTTATTACGCTGCCATATATTCAGAGCATTTCTATAGATATTAATTACACTGGAAAATTGGGCTTGCTACATAGACAAAACATTTTATATTATCTAAACAAAACTGTCGCGTTTTTTTCAACTAAGGTAAGAAATATAACTTCAGTTCAAAAAGAGGATATTTATCACTTGATATTTTACTTTGTAGTTAAATATTAAACTGGTGACTTTTAGAAAGTTGAACATTTTGAAATGAATGTTTGAATATAAATTTTATCAGGGAAGAGATGCTTTTTTTAAATTTGTAGATTTATTAATGAAGGCGTCCCCCATTATATGAATCAGAGAAAAATTGCTTTGGTCAGAATACTGATGGGAAATTCACAGGACACCCCCCCCCTCCCCACTTTTCTTCCTCTGCTCCAATTTCATTAAAACCCATTCTACTGTGTTGGACACCTTCCCATCAGTGTCTTCAATTATTTTTAACCAAAGTTTTTAAAAAGCTAACAATATTTATGCTTTTATGGACACGTTTTTTCTTCTTCTCTGTAACACTAATGAGTTGTTCTTGATTTATAACTCAGCATTACGTAAGATTACTGTATTGTTGCCGTATCCTAAGTTGTCCACTGCTCTATGAGTGTCTACTTTCATTTGATTATTTTCTCTGGAAAAGCAAGCTCAACTAGGTTCTTGCTCTAAAGAGACAATTGTAGCAAACTTATTTCCCTCTTCTTTTTTTAATTTTTTTTTTATTAACTTAAATTTTTTCAAAGACTAAAATCGAGCTTCATGTTATCTATTTTTGTGCCTTATTGGATAAATATATTTATATATTTGGCTAATTTTGAGTAGGTTACGTTCCATTTTTGGTACTGAAACTTCCAGCCATGTCTTTTTTTTAATGCTGGGCGAGATGTAATAATTTCATTGCATGTCTTTTATTTTTTATTATATATATTTTTTATTTATTTAAAACAGATTTTTAATCAGTATAATAATTTTTTCAATTTAATCACATATGTCTAGTTGTTTTTTTGTTTTTTTTAGAAAAGAAATATTTGTTTTGGGAACTGATGGTTGCTTTGAAATGATATGATATCGATATACTATAATCATAATAGCTAGATCTGAAATTTGCATAGGGTCTTGGGGAAATATAAAGATCAATTAAATTCTCAAAAAGAATCATTTTCTTCTAAAGAATTCAAATGGAAGTCTCCCTTAAGACAAATTTCTTTGTCTAAATTCTTACATTTGCCATATTTATAATTAAACAGAACTATGCTTCATAATATCTTTCATTACCATGGTTCAATCTTAGTTTTTAACAATTTTCTAACATCTCAACTGTTTCAATAGAGCAACAGTTTTTATTGAATTAAAATTAGGATCTAAATTGAATTTTTATATTAACTATCACATATCCAGTGTTCATGTTGCCATAAGTAAGCAGGCAATGTATTCTCTAAGATCATTGCTCCGCAACCATTTATTTCCCTCATGGCACACCAAGACCATTCCCAGATTTCCTTGAAACATACCATTAAAACATGGTTTAATGTTTTTTTTTATATTTCTTACAATATGAAATTAACATGAGGAAGTAGATCTTTTACTTGAGCAAGTAGATCTTTTATACCCAGTGATCTAACGTTGTATAGTTTAAAATATTTAAATTTAAAAATAAATAAGATTTTTTAGCCTGGCTCGCTGGCTCAATATCTGAAAGAGCTATTCATAGTTCACCATCAATATCTTTCAAGCAAGACAGCCTATCAATTTTTATTAAAACAAGATAAGAACAAATTTGTTTACTAAATATAAATATGTCATTGAAAATAGTAGGAGAACTGAAATAGCTTGTTAGAAATTCTAGGGTATACTTTTTGGAACTTTTTGAGTAACTTAAATTTTATTGTCCCGTCAATCCTCAATTCAATAAATTCAACTTGAACCTGAAGGAAGAATTTGGGGCAAAAATTATATTCATACGGCGAAATGATTTTGGAACCAATTGTATTGCACCATAGGCCACTTACTGTATAAAAGTAATGGTCAGCAACGTTAGATGTTGTTGTGCCAAGCTTAAAATGCTTTTCTTATTTACCAAAATTTTTCTCTGAAATAGGTTAAACACAACGAAACATGCCCACTTAAAACACAGTTAAAACAGTCTTATGATACAAAGAAAAGCACCGACCACTCACTTAGACAGTGCCCTATTGACCCATGGCAGGCCCCCTGGGCTTCCAGCTTCTTTGGGCCCCTCAACACATTTACACAGCATTTTCATGGCTTGGCCAAAGTATGCATGGGCCCATGCTCTAGGTGGGCCCCGGGCTTCACTTAGGCACTTACGCTATGACATTTATGTGTAAAGCTACCATATTATTTCTTTGCATGCCACCCAAAAGTAATAATAGAATAAAATGTCCCACAATAAAAAATAAACACAAGTTTGACATGTCAAGAAATAAGTGGCAAGATCTTCAAACGACCCAGTCTAGACAGAGTGGGGCTTAGTTTGTCTTGGGTTTGTTTTCATTAGTCTGTGATGAAACGTTACCTCCGGAGTGTAGACAAATTTAACAACCAACAATCAACACCCGGACAAATTATTGCACCTAAACAGCGTTTGATCAAATGGTAGTGTGACATTAAGATGGGATGATGACTTGTCAAACTGCTAAATTTAAACATTGAATGTGCTTTGATATTTGACTACAGACGTCTTGACAGCTAGTTATTTAGCCAATCATTGTCTCTGTTAAAACTGTGTAAATATCCAAACATGTTATTCATCCTCCTGGATGACTTTTGATGCAGCACACCTATACTCATAACACAGCACACCAGGCACCAGTCTGACAGAGCACAAAGGTTGTGGAGTTCTGTCTTAGATAATAAGCGATTTAAAAAAAAAAAATTCTGCATTATTCATCTCTGCAAGTTCCCACCCATCCCAGAATTCAATCAGGATAGTCTACCAAGAGTCCCCTAAAAATGTTTTTTTTTATAGTTAACTCAAGACAAATTATCCTTGACCTTGTTTAAGTAACTCCCAGCCCAATATTTGACTTATGTTTTAAAGTCACTTGCTAACTGAAGAGTGATTCTCTTATTAGAATTTTGTTAGTAGTATGTGTTTGTCTTCATTTTGTTCTGCTGTTAAAGTCCAAGACTTATTTTCAACATATTGGACAGCCATGGTGTAACCTACTACTTTTAAACTGCTAACAAGCAAGCACATAAAACTACTTGATTCTATAATCTCATGTCTTCTAATTTATTTCATTTAATTATCCTTGCTGTTGACCATAAAAATATACTGGTTATAAAACACAGACTCTGTGTTGACCACAATTAACACACCCATTGTTAATGGCAACATGTCTAGAATATTATGACCATTTGTCTTCATCCTACTGGAAATCATTCTTATAACATTTAATTTTTAAGATACTTAAAAAATAAAACAACTAAAACCATACTTGCTTTATGTCCTTACAGTTTCTCTATGAAACAGTGAATATTATATTTTACATATCAAGGTTAAATATATATAAAAGTTAGATAGAAAAAAAAGACAGTATTGACTCTTTAGACAATAACCATTTGCACATTAAACTTTTTTTCTTCCCTAAACTTTAACTCCTGACCCTGATTATTTCATAGTTGTAATTACCATAGATGTTCTACAATGTAATTACAATGTTAACTTTTAAATTGCAAAGTTTCCCAACCAGCAACTTGAAAGGTATGGTACTAGTTATTTGCTGCTGTTCACTGAGCTATTCAAAATGAAACTTAATTTCTACTCATTTTTACATTTTGAAATTGTCTGTCTAAAAAAAAAACCAGACTGTAATATAATAAGACAAAGTTTTAATTCTACATTAACCAACTATTGTTAATATTCCAGGTGATCTTCAGCCAGTCCAGTGATACACTTGACCATCAGCCTAGCGTGGGAGGATCAAGTGGTGAAGAGACATCTTTGCCAGAAGCATCTTCAAGTGAGTGTATGTGTCTTATACTCACAGGCTCAGACCTGCGAGAAATCGTAATATGCCCTTTCTTTTTAGGTCATCCTTTTTTATGCTTACTTTATAGTATAGATCAGACTGCAGGGATGACAATATTGCTGTTGAAATATTTTTGGTCCCCATTCCAAAGTTCATTCTGGATCTACATTTCTGACAAGGTTGTGTTAATATTGAAGGGTCATAGAATGATTCTGATAAAAATAAAGGAAATCATGACATCTCAAACTCTATATTCACGTTTCAGTAAATTGATTCAGTCGTCCTAAAAATGCAACAAATTTTCACTCCACAACCATAGATAAGTTTGAAGATGAAGTTAGTTGAAAAGCTGCCGCCGCTGTTTTGGGTGTCATAGTGAGAAGGGGCGTGTTTTGGAAATATTTTGTTTTAAAAAGAAATAGTCACAAGTATAGCAAACAAGAAGTTGCTAATTAAAAAAAGTCGTCACAACTTCTCCTATAATTGGGGTTTCACTATACAAAGTACTTGAATCAAATTTCATGATGTGCATGCAAGGTGAACCCTGTCTGTATGTTGGTTTGTTTCTTACTAGATGACACGTTGATGTGCAATGAGAGCAGTGGTAATGAGCTGATGGTCACGTTTAAAGGCTTTGATTTCTTGGACAATGAGTTGGAGGAATCTGAGGTGAAATGTAGTTTTTAAAAAAAATAAAAATTCTGCTTGTTCAGTCCTGTGTGAATCATCATAATACCATTTTAAAATGTGTTAAGTTAAATAAGTAATGAGTTTATTCATAACTGATTTCATTGCTTGGGTTGTTGTTTGTAATGATCGTTCAGTTAAGATGAACCTGCTAGTCTTGTGTACATTCTTTGCATCAGTTGTATACTTAATTTGTGCATTGAAGATCATCATGACTGAGCAATTAATCTGGAAAGAAAGTAAAATATTTTTTTTTTTCTTTTTTTAATTTAGTCGGAGGACTTTTTCTCCCAATTGGTTGACCGTCGTCACTCTCTGCACCTGGAACCGTCGCCTACAGCACCTGGGCGTCCTAATTTTGGCAGTGAGCCAAACTTGCAGATGATCAGCAGCAACCTTTCAAAGAGATCCCCGAGAGACAGTGTAACAGAGGAGCCATCCACGGATGATGAAGTAAGTTGATGAAAGAAAAGATTTGGATTGACGATTTGTCACTTTTGTCTTAAAATTATTTTTTTCCTTCAAATGGTGTAATTTTTTAAAGCTATGTTGATGAAATTAACTGAAGGCCAGACCAATAAAACAGTTTTACAAACAAAAATGTTAGCACCAATTTCATAATGATGCCAAAAGTAAACTAGTTAATTAAGACAAAGCATTTCATACAAGGTCTTATTCGTTACATCTATGACTTACACTGCAATCACTTTCCCCAGTCTGAAAGTTCTGAACAGGAAGCCAGTGGAGCAACTGCAACAACTGATTCTCTTGCTGGATCCTCCTCTATTCAAGCCAGCTCGAATCTTGGACGACAACGTTCGAGTCCTTTAACTGCTTCCACGTGAGACTTAGTTAATTTTTTTAGGCTGCAAGGGATGTAAGGTGCCTAAATTATGAGCTTTATAATTTTTAAAACAGAAATTACACACAAATTAGGGGAGCATGGCAGTGTCCAATAGAATCGTTTAATTTGGTCAAAGTAGTAAAAATTTCTCAGACAGTTCATTACCAAACATTACTCTACAGCCCTGATCAGTAGCATATAGATTCTATGACTTGATGGTTTAAGCCTGCACAACTCAAAATGTAAGGTGGGCCGTAATACTTTATGAAAAACTTGTGGGGGCAGAAAGATGATAGGACAGGGGCAAAAGCTATAAAGAAAAAATAATAATAAAGAATATTTCATTACTTTGCGGGCCGCCAAGTGGGTGCTCGCGAGCCGCCGGCCTGCGGCTGAATGTTAAGCAGGCCTGGTTTAAGGGAAAGTTTCTAATTTTGAAATAATATTCACAGACAAAGTCTGTCCAGTAACTCCCCAAGTGAAACGGATACAGTGGATCTCAACTCAAGTCAGGCATCCCCAGCCTTCACTCAACTTTCAGTTTTGCTTCTAAATCTCCAAGCTGATGAGGTCGAAGAGGTGTGGAGAGGTCATGTTGCAAAGGTCACAGTGGAGAGCTCTATCAGCCATGTTGGGAAAACATGTCAGATTTTCCCTAAATTATTCAGGGTATGAATTCATCTGCCTAAACTATTAAACAATAGTTTACAAAATGTCCAAAAATGAAGAAGGTGTGGTTATTAAAAGATGCCAAATATACTTTATATGAATTTTGTAATAATTATATTTGTTATTCCCCCAGGAACTCCGTAAGCGTCTGACCACAATGACCAAAGAAGCCTGCTATTACATTTCAAAGTCTGAAAACTTAAAGCCTGTAACATCACAGATATGTATCCTTATGTGTACGCCTTTAAAATCTAGAAATTTATGAAATTGAAAAATAGGATGTAATATAATAATTGATATGATTTAAAAATACAAATACATTTTTTAAAAAATGTAACTTGAATGAGATTTGAATGACAACAATGATTTTTACTTTATTTACCTCATGCAACCCCTTTAAAAGGGCCTAATCTGGCCGGTACCAATTCAACCCTCATAGCAGCCAAATCCGGTCACTCAACAAATTGTTTATACCATACATTGTTAAAGCTCACCTTTTAAATTAAAATAAAGTCCTATAAGATGCGAGAGCAAAGGAGATTACTTCCCTTTTTAAAATTTTAATAGTTTTATTTTTTATTGTTATGATCATGAGTAGCTGAGTACTTCATCGTAGTTTGATATTTACGAATTTAAGAAAAAAGCATTGAGAAATAATAATGTAATACAACACATAAAGCAAAAAATTATGAATCCAAATCATATATATAAATAACTATTTAATATATTAATATATATATAGTATAAAAGTTTTGTTTTTAAAACAATTTTAAACCTATCTATGGTAATAGTGGAGCTGTTCCCCTTTGGTGTGGGTTTCACTTGACAAAATTTCTAAGAACCTAGAATTTAATGAGTTAAAACAGTTGTGAGATTCTTTTCTCTTATGCTTTTAAATATGAAATATACAGACATTTAAAAAAAAAAAGGCATAATCATTATGTTTCTTTCATGAAGATTACTTATCGGTTAAAATTATAATGAAGTTCTAGCGTAGTTTAAGGTCATATAATTACTATCACTAGTTTCTTAACCCAACTCACAGTGCAAGTAATGGATCTTGTTCACCAACAGCTGGATTGTCCATTCTTTTTCTCAGAATCTGACTCTGTAAGCTATTTGTGTGTAAGCTATTTGTGTGCTGTGTGTAAGCAATTTGTATGTAAGCAATTTGTGTGTAAGCAATTTATTTGTAAGCAATTTGTGGGTAAGCAATTTGTGTGTTTATGAAATTTTGGGTCTAAGATCCTCTTGGAAGCTAAAATGGGGAGATGGCAGTTGAAGTATTTTGTGTGCATGATCTGAAAACAAATTTGGGAGCCATTTATAATAATGATCCTGGACATCTGAATCAATTTCTTTTTTCTGCACCAAGAGTCGGTTTGGTTGACCGGGCATCTGCTTTAGATATTGATTTAGTGAACTAAGGGGGACAACTTGACCTCTTAAAAAAAAAATGTAATTTGCGTCTGAGATAATTTAAATAAGCTTATAACATGTATATGACATGGAATAGTTAATAATTTGGGATTTATTTCATTTTATTCTAATATCATGTTATCTCATCAGCTTCTAGGTACCAGACTTGTAGACAGGCATCGATTCTGTGTGTTGGAGATACAGGAATGTTTCCAAATTTACTCAACCAAGAAGGATCAAGCAGAGCAGGTTTGTGGCACACCTTTAGGCTGCTTGGCCATTTGCTTAGATGGTTCTGTATTGTGACTGTTACAAATTTCGGAACGGAATCTGTGAAGGCTTGGTAGATTTCACAATTGCAAAACATTATTTAGTTATTTTGATGTTAAAAATAATTTTGAATTTGAGACCAACGTTAATTTAGTTGGGACCAGAGGTTATCTAACTATTTGACATCTTTTAAAATAAAACCCTTTTTTATTTACTGAACTAATTGATCGATAACAGGTAAACATTTTTGATAGCCTTAAATATTCTATAATTATTAAATTATACATTTATAAATCTTTTTTTAAGTCAGAGGAACACAGTATTTTTTCCAATGCCGGTACTCACTTTAAAAGAAAATGATTTTAACAGTGATTCTCTACTCCCCACAGAGTCTTGAAAGTTTAAAATCTTCGATAAAACAACAATCCCTTGGTGATGGTGGATCTTACATACTGGCCGGTGAAGAGCAGGTACGTTTTGCTGAAACATTGGGCATTGCCTAGGTTGGTGTTTTATAAGACTTAATTTGTGTTGAATATCATTAGGTTCATTCTATTTCTATTGCTACCACCATTTCATGAATGAACAGTCTGCATATTTAATTAATAATGAGGAAATCATTTATGTTGCATGTGATGAAGCAATGTTTCCTTTTCCTCCCCCAGCAAATGGAGCTGTGTCAGAAACTGTACAAACTAATCTTTCAACTGGTCTTGCTGTTTGAGTCTTACCTCAAGCTGTTGGATGTGTTTCAAATGGTGACAGCCTCACCTCAGGTATGCAGCTTCAGACTGGGTTACTTTATGTCATTAAGTATTGCGATGATGCAGAGTCAAAGTTATTTCTAAAATTTAAAAAAAAAAAAAGATATTGCAATCTGACACGTTTCCAATTGTCTACCTCCTCCAGTGACAGATTAAAAAACTGTGTTCAACACACCTTCCATTTCCGATAGTACCGGTAATATATCGGTAATATATCGGTAATATATAACTAAAAAGGATTTCAACATAAAGATGGAATAATGCTTATTCAAAGAAACTCAAAATGATTACATTATGCAGCTAGTCTGGGTTGCCTGGAGAAAATTTTTAAAATGCACTAATTTCAAACTGAGAACAATATTCATAATTCATATGCAGTTTATCTTAGACAAATTCAGTTGTAGAAATAATTCTTTGGGCCATTGTTTTCTAACATGTAGTTCAATGTGACAAGAAAGCTTTCATCAACATATCAGGGGAAGACTTGTATCATTTGAATGTATCTTGTTCTAGATTAATTCTTAATTGTGACAGTTGTTATACATTTCCTGAGGACCACTTGGCTCCATCAACAGGTTTCAGACATGTCTAGTCAGGTGATTTCAATTCGTAAGGAACTTCTTCTGTCCTTACAAGAATTGGAAAATGGCCAGGCGTCACCTTTCAATGTGGACTCCAAAGTAATGAACAAACAGGAAGCAGTGATAAATGTAGTTGAATACCTGCAAGGTGGAAAATACCTGAATGCAGTGCAGATCTTGAGATGCTTCAGGTGAGTGTTCACAGGAAATGTGCTGTTTATAAAAATCTTAAATTTTTTATAGATACCTTAAATTGTACAAACATTTGATAAAACATGCTCATATTTGACAGGTCTTCCAACTGATCAGATCTAACTATTATAGTAAATAGAGGTAGTTCTGATTTACATTTTAACCTACTTGTGTGTAAAAAAACCCAACAAAAAAAACCCTAGAAAAGCCAGGTAGCAAATTTAAGTTTACGCTATGCCTTTGGCATGGGTTTTCCCCCCAATAATTCTAAATAAAATGCAGATGAAGTTAAAGGTACAAATCTTTTAATTCATCTTTAGACTCTTCAATTTTTTCAACTAAAATGTCATTAGCAGGTTGTTTTAAGTGCCTGGTTAATGGTGCTTTTTAATGTGTTTTTTTTTTTTATTTTGCTGTTTCTTTCATATCATCTTACAAACTTTATTTATTAAACAATGTTCAACCATGGGGGTGTATGAAAAAAATGGGAAAATAAGTGTGGATGTGCCGGAATTAATACAACAAAGTCAAATTATGGTAATATAATTCTGTTCTACAATTAATTTTGACCTAATTTCATCTTGAAACTTCTGAAATTACATCTTAAAATTAACCCTGTAAATTGAAAGATGTGTATAAAAAGTAAAGGAATAAAATATGAAAACTATGAAAATACACTGTGCAAACTTTTTTCTGTGATTGTTTCAGGTCGCTGTGGCCCAATGACATATTTGGAATGACAACAGATGATGATGTTCTCACATTGCTTAACATTTATTGTAGCAGTCTAGCAGATAAGAAACAAGGTTCGTCCATTCCAAAAATACTGTTAATTATTTCTAATCCTTCAATGTTCTTAAAGATTTGAAAATCTGTATGAAATTCAAAGCATATTAAACAGTTTTGAAATTCCTGATGCACACATTTTAAGAAATGTAGCTTATTAAGCAGATTGCCTGGTGGTCACTTTAGTATCATCTGCATTACTAGTAACCATTGCTACAAAATGTTTAGTTGAAGGAGTTCCAGGGACACAATCTGCTCATTCAGTTTAGGCATTCTACAAGAAACACAATATTCAGACCTTCAAGACATTTGGATTATCAATAGCATGATTTATAAATAATGAAAGTTGTGTAAAAACAAGAATATTCAAGTGATAAATTGTATTGGGCCAATGTTGAGAAGGAAACAAAGAAAAAGAAATAACAGTTGAGAAGTATTTTATTTTTATGTTCATTTTTTAAATTTTCAGGTGTATTTGCCTTGACCAAAACCAGTCTTGAATTAACACCTCTGTATGGCCAACTGATGGACATAAACATACGGCTTAGTTCCAGCTGTTTGTCAAACTTACCCTGCTCAAATGCCATAGGTTAGTAGTCAGCACTCAAGTTATTTCAATAACTTACCCTTCTCAAACGCCATAGGATAGTAGTCAGCACTCATTTTATTTCAATAACTTACCCTTTTCTAATGCCATAGGTTAGTAGTCAGCACTCATTTTATTTCAATAACTTACCCTGCTCAAATGCCATAGGTTAGTAGTCAGCACTCAATTTATTTCACTTTAAATTTATAATCTTAACCTGGCATTAGCTTTTGATGACTGCTAAAAATTGTTGACCCTTTAAAATGATTAATTGAATTAATTATTGAGTTCAATTTCAACATGTTGTTCTGCTCAGTTATTTGGGAAATGGCAAATCTTTTTCCAATAAAAAGATACATACAAAATATTTGGTGTTGGTAGAAATTATGTGCTAAGAAGCCCTGAGATACTATTCAATGTTCTGTTTGTGTGAACATTATTAAGTACCGAACACATTTAAGTGTTCTACAATATTGCTTGTCTGCTGAAGAAGACTTTTCAGTAAACATCCAAGAGTACATGTCTCCTAATAATGTATTTATAAAACATGATCTGAAGAATTTGGAGTGACATCCCTAAACAAGTGAGACTGGGACATCCATGGCTAGATGCTAGGAAACATTGTGATTTTAGGAGACGGGTTTGATTTTTGATTTTTTGCCCCTATGGTTTAGCTTCCATTGACGGTTGATAAATGTAAATGTCTCCATTTTCTTCAGCTGCACCAACGACTTTACTATTATCCTCACCATCATCACCTAGAGGTGCTGGCAGCAGAGACAGTGGTGGAAGTGGGGACGGCAGCACAAGAAACATTTCTGAAGAACAACGCAGACTGGAGATACTTCTCAAGTCTTCAGATTCTAGCATCTTATGACTATAGGAATCTGGTCTTGTCTTATAAGGAACATAATGAAGATACAAAACTAAAGTTTATTTTTGTTTTGTATCCCCATCAGATTTTTAAAAAATGACCTCAACACTAATTGTTGCATAAAACTAATTTGGGGTGGTACATAGGTTTTAAATACTGTAGTATATTTCAAATATTATTTGAATTAAACAAAAACAGGATTCAAATAATTATCCAGTATTGTTCCTTATAAGACAAGTCATGTAAGATAGTTTAATTGAATGTGTTTCAAAAACTTTCAAACTCATTATGTAGATATCTTGATTGTGTAAAAATTTTTCAGCTAGACAAAATTGTGAAACAATCTGACGATAAGGAGTTTAACTCCTGCTAATCTTTGAAATTGTTCATCTGGGAATATGACGATTTTAATATTTTTTAAAATAGCCTTCCCCAACGTTGTTTATTAATGCCTAAATATTGTTATATTTATTTAAAGTTGAGCTACTCTATTTATTTTATTTTAAACATTTCTATTTAACTCAATTTTTTTAAAACTGCTAAAACTAAATATCATGTACTGGTAAGTCAGATTATAATCTAATTCATTTCTAAGTTCTAAAATACTTGGGAATTTTTTTCTCTAAAATGTGTTGTGATTTTTTTCACTCATCATTTAGAACTTTCCTTTGATGATTAATTTATACATACAATATATCAACAATTTTTACTCATTCCGCTTGAGTGATTGTTTATGACTGAAAATATTTTAGCACAACTGAAACTGTTTTAGTAGTAATAGTAACATATTATTTCTTTTTGTTACTGATCTTGAGTAAAACAAGGGAAGAGCTATATTTAACACTTGTCTTAAATTCTTCCATTCTATATTAATAGTAATGTTATTTACAATATATTTGAATGTTTGTTTCTTCTTTAAGTATTTCAAAATTTAATTCAGAGATCAAATTGAAAATGTTCATTTGCTCATCTTTCAATTTACTGAATCTAATACAAATGAAATTGAGAAACTCTGTCAACTCCAATCATGGCAGGGTCTTTTTCCCTCATCAAGATAATGACGAATCTCATTGAACCATCCATATGCATAATTATATTTAATTTCTAAATTAGTGATTTAAATTTATAAACTTGGAGTTTGGAAATGTTATTTAAACTTAAAGCAGATTAATGTTATGTTTGTGACCTGAAAGAGTCATTTGCCCTTTACGGAGATATGCTGATTTGTCACTGTTTTAATTTCATTTCTTTTCAAGGTTTTTAATTAACTGCCACGGTTTAAAAATTGCCCTAGTTATCTAGTCATGGGTTTTTAGGCTGAATATATTTTTTAGGGTGAAAAAATCAAAAACTATTTCATAAATTTCATTTCTTTGTTTCCATTGACCATTAATAAGAGAAATTTATGCATTTTATATGTAAATAAACCTGCAATTGTAATCCATGAGATTAAAACATTGTGTACACACATAGTATCATCTGGTTTTTAAAACATTGCATACACATTGGATCATCAACACAAATGCTACATTTTACATCACATTAGATTGTTTATTTTAACTGTTTAAAGATTTACTAAACTAAAAATTAAATTTCAGTTTGTTTTTGTGATGCTCACCCCTAACATTCAGCATCAATAAAAAAAAATCCTGCTTTTCAAAGTTACACTGTATACATAATTAGATGGTATTTTTTAAAATATAGATCATCCCAATAATATAGTATGTAATTTTATTGTAACATAGTAATATTTGATAACTTTTGTTAAATGAAAAAAGACAAAAATTACACAAAAAAGTTTTTAGACAAAAAAGGACACCAAGCACACAATTCAGACACACAAACTTATGAATGCCTTTACCTTGGTTTTCTTTGACTGCATGTAATTGATTTATTTATTTCTAGCCCATGAATTGAGCTTGTTTAACATGGCTACTATTTGCACAAGAAATGTCTTCACCATTCACTTTGTTATTCAGCTGATACATGTACAAGGACTTTTCGTATTTTTATTTTTAACAATTATGTTTTAGAGAACAAGTTGTTTACATGTCCAAGTTTAGATAATTTCATCATCACTGATTAGTATTAAAATTGTTAAAGCATGGACCCGGTTGAGCAGTGCATTTCTAATTAGCTCATACAAGTTCCTCTCAAATCCATCTCTTTGGTGACCACGTTGACTTTGACCCTATTTTATGTTGATTAAAGTACAGTGTGGACCTTTTTGGTACCCATCAGATGTCTAAGCTAGAAGATACTGATGTGAAATGACTGTTTTCATTCAGCATTGTGGAAAATTCAAGATGATCTTCTATTATATTAATATAATATAGTCTCGATAAATTTCACTTCTAAGTTCTTTACATTCTATACCGGTACTATTAGGGTTGTTGATCTATTGAAGACCATTATTATTATCTAATTATTTCAGATTTTTTCAAATATTATAATGTCTATTGTATTGAAGTCGAAAGAGTGCCTGTGTAATCATAGTGACAGCTGCTAAATTACTAAATCATCTGTTTGTTCAATCTTCAAGAATTTCAGTTTTTTTTTTTCCCAGCTGGTTATAAATTGTTTAAGTTTAAGACTTGCTGGTTTTCTTGGGCCATCATAATTCAGTAAATTTGCTAATGGTCTGGCCCTTTCAGATTGTACATAGTGAATATTGAAGTTATACAAACAATCTCTTGTAATAATCCTAGTACCCTAACTAAAAAAAACTTAATTTATTGACTACTTTACTTTCGTCATTGAGGAGTTGGTTGACAAAATAAACCAATTTTATTACAAAGACCTATTAAAACTAAATTTGACATTTTTGTCTCCTTTATTTTTTTATATTCATGTTTGATATTTCTTCTTCTTTTTTTTTTTTTAAAGAAAATATTTTTCTTTTAGATTTCTTTAATTTTTCTAAATTGAACTTTAATTTAACTTTCTAATAGCAAATAGATCCTATTATCAGGCCTGCACAACTCAAAATGTAAGGCGGGCCGTAATGCATTATGAACTTGTGCAGGCCAAAAGAAAATAGGACAGGACAAGTGCGGGCCAAAAAAATATAGGTCAGGGGGAAGCTATTAAGAAAATAATAAGAATAACAAGTTTTTCGTTATCTTGCGGGCTGCAAAGTGGGTGCTGGCGGGCCACATGCGGCCCCTGGGCAGGCCTGCTATTATTATTATCTTAGTTATAAATTACTTTTTGAAAAAAAAGAAATAATTTATTAAATTTGTTTTAAACAGTAAAAACATTCTTGGGGGGGGGGGAGAACAGGGGGACTTGCTGTTTTCTTGAAATGGGGTTTGCAGGATTATTAATTTACATAGTTATGGCATATAATGTACGTTTTAACTTAATCTTAGTTATAAATTACTTTTTGAAAAAAAAGAAATAATTTATTAAATTTGTTTTAAACAGTAAAAACATTCTTGGGGGGGGGGGAGAACAGGAGGACTTGCTGTTTTCTTGAAATGGGGTTTGCAGGATTATTAATTTACATAGTTATGGCATATAATGTACGTTTTAACTTCCAAACTACCCTGTTAAAAACACAAAACTGTATGATGGCAACAGGTTGGTAGAACTAGGAAAAAAACTAAAAAGGGTTTTGAAACATTTTGTAGATACATAAGGATTTGGTCACAGATAATTTCAGAAACAACATTAAAAATTAAACTTAATTAAATCTCTAACAATTAATTACATCAGTTTAAATTAAATGATGAAAATTTAATGTGAACAAAATCCATTGTGCTCTGGTGGGTCTCTATTCTAACTGTCTTCCGTTTAGTTGAATTTCTGTAAAAGTATTTATGATAATATTGTGTAGACAATAAAGAAGATGAAACCTTATTTTGTTTTATGAATTTTTTTAATTAAATTTATTTTAAATTTCTAAAAAGTTAAAACAAGTTCATTAAGTTACAGTCAGTAACAAACTTCTTTTTCAATAAAAAATGCTTTTGTTGCTAATCTCATATTTTAATTAAAATTTCAATTTCAGTCATTACAATTTTTAAAAAATCCAATAGCATCCTTACAAGACATCGGTAGACGGCCCACATTTTGCTAGCATAGAACAGAGAAGCATAACTGGCTTGCAGACTTTTAGTTAACTATGGCCTCAATACCTTTCTTAGACATAGGGCTACATTATTGGAAAATCTTACGACGGTTACACTGGGTGCAGAGTTTCATCTTGTCGATTCTACTTGACTGTTTCCTACCAAATTAGTTGAGGACTTAAACCACTCTGTCTCCCTACAGTGACAATAATGTTGGGCTCCACCAAAGCCAGAATGATCACCACTTTGTGGGCCCTTAATAATAATATAAAGACGAAGAAGAAGACAATCCAGGAGCTGGCAATGGTGAGAATGAAGCATGAGCAAGGATTTTTGCAACCAAGGGCTCTGTGAAAAGTAGTGTGTGGGAGGCACTTCTGAGATGTTATTTTTATTTCTTACCAGCTACTTCTGTTCCAGCTTAGCTTAAACGTGGAAGAAATGTTTTTGTGAAGGGCGGCTGAAGAGTATCTTGGAGTGAAACACTAAAAACTATGGTGCGTATGATTAACTTTATTTGGCTGGGCTTTTGATTTATTTAAAGAGAGATCCCAATAAAAACAGTCTTTTTACTTTCTTCTGGACATTCAAACATTTGTAGCTTTCAGAAGCCAGTTGTTCAAATATACAAATTTACCATCATCCTTGCAATGCTTTACCATTGAAAACAACATAAAGAACTGAGGTACATGATAATAGACCCATGAAGGTCCCTCCGCCCTATTTAATGGCCAGTGATGTAATGTAAGGCAAAGAAAAAAAATAATTCTACCCCCCCCCCCCCCCCCCCCCAAAGTGAAGTTATACAAACGTAAAATTATCAAGAAAGAAAAAAATTACCACAGATGTTTGATATCTTCATTCTAGTTATAGGAATGAAATATGCACATTAGCAAAATTAAACTTTTAAAAATTGTTGAACACTTACATTAACCAGGTACTCTGCAGCAAATAATAAGTGAATGAAAATGCACTCATTACAAGCGTGTTATTTTAAAGTACCAGTACATAGTATAATGAGGATAAGGTTAATTTAATGTACATAGTATGAGGATTGGGTAAGCAGATCATCTTGTAGCAAGAAATACTTGCAGTAAACTCCTGTTTGTATAAACTAAACTGAAGAGATTTACTTTAATTTCACAAAAGCTCAGTTAAAAAGTGGTGGCTTTGAAAGCTTTCAAAATGACAATGGTCACTCCAAATATCTTGTGGAAAATAAATGTCAAAGGTGACAGGGACAGAAGTCTTCAATAAATATTTATGAAAATTAAAAATCATACAAATAAGAAAAAATGTCCTTGACTCTTTGTCAACATCAATTACAAGAATATGAAACATGAAAATCAATGAAATATGAAAGACAATGCGCTTTAAATTTTCCAGGAACAAAATAATTCCAGGAAAGTATTTTCTCCACAAATAGTATCATTTATAGTCGATCTAATGGATCTTGTTTTATATTTGT